CTCTCTTCTCAACCACTCTTTAAGTGCTTTTCACTATCCTTGGCAAGCACTGAGGAACTTCTGCCGTCAGTTTAATTTGAAGGCCCTGCTATTGGAAAAGGAGGACCAAAATGGAAAGGAATACTCAGCCAAGGAAATTGTTGGGAAAATGTATTTTTCACAACAGGTGGTTGAACCTGATGAAATTCAACAAGGGCAAGTGTAGGTGCTGCTCCTGGAGAGGAATAACCCCCTGCACCAGGACAGGTTGGGGGTGACCTGCTGGAGAGCAGTTCTGAGGAGAAAGACCTGGGAGCCCTGGTGGACAACAGGATGCCCATGAGCCAGCAATGGGCCCTTGTGGCCAAGAAGGCCAATGGCATCTTGGGGGGCATCAGGAAGAGTGTGAGCAGCAGGTGGAAGGAGGTCATCCTGCCCCTCTGCTCTGCCTTGGGGAGGCCCCATCTGGAGCACTGGGACCAGTTCTGGGCTCCCCAGGTCCAGAAGGACAGGGAACTGCTGGAGAGGGGACAGCAAAGGGCTACAGAGATGGTGAGGGGCCTGGAGCATCTCTCTGCTGAGGAGAGGCTGAGGGACTTGGGTCTGTTTAGTCTGGAGAAGAGAAGGCTGAGGGGGAAACTGATCAGCACCTATAAATACTTAAAGGGTGGGTGTCAGGAGGATGGGGCCGGTCTTTTTCCAGTGGTGCTCAATGACAGGACAAGAGGGAATGGGCACAAACTGGACCATAAGAAGTTCCACCTAAACATGAGGAGGAACTTCTTTGCTGTGAGGGTGACAGAGCCCTGGCAGAGGCTGCCCAGGGAGGTGGTGGAGTCTCCTTCTCTGGAGACATTCAAACCCACCTGGACGCGTTCCTGTGGGACCTGCTCTGGGTGGCCCTGCTCTGGCAGGGGGTTGGACTGGATGATCTCCAGAGGTCCCTTCCCACCCCATATCATTCTGTAAGTCACTTTAGATGACATCCCTTCCTCTGTACCACTGTTGCTGAACACTTTGCATAGAAACAGAAAGGGAGTGAATTTGTTGAAGGGCAAATTGTGGGCTGTATCTGAGAGAATCAAGTGTGGGCTATACAGTAATCCAGGTATCAGCACAGCTCGGTCTGGTAGGTGTCAGGGGGACTTAACAAAATCCGTGATACAAGAAAAATTTATTAGTGTCACAATACCAATATTCTTCTGCCTTTACGTAGATTTTCGAGCTACCATAAGTTATTGCTTTCTCTTTTCAGGTCTTTCCCCTTTATATCAGATCAGATAGAGCAGTATGAACGGGGTTTGCACACTCTGTTCCATTGCTTTTTACTTAGATAGGAGTTAATATTTAAGCTTATTAAAAATTTGACTCTTTACTGAATGGGGTTAAAATGGAAAAAAGGACATTAGTCTTGCTTAAATAAAAAACTCACTGACACCTACATACTAACTGAAGTCTTACAAAATAGATGATTGTTAATTGTACCACTGTTGGTACAATTAGCATGATTTAGGGCAGTATTACATTGTTGTTTTTTTTTTTTGCTGAAAGAGCTGTGCTCTATTCAAGTCCAGACAAAAATTTCTGGCTGTGCTTTGAATAAGTAAAATTTATTCTTGGTACATCTGGGATCCAGTCTTCTGTCTTTATCAGCTGGGGATTTTCTTTCTTCCCTTGACTGAAATACATGTAGGCTATTGGAGACGCAGAGTAGAGAACTGCAAAATCACTGCTTCTCTGTGTTTGAGTCAAAGTTCCCTTAAGGAAGTGCAGACCTGGCACCAGTAAGAAGTGGGTACTTGACTCACAAAACAGAGAGAAGCAATGCATCCAGGCCAGCTCCAAAACTGTCCCTAGCATCACTGGAAGAAGAGAACACATTTTCTTCTCAATTCCTGGCCTTTCCTTTCTGGAAGGAAATAATGGGAAGGGATGAACACGTCTTCATGTTTTCTTTCCAGTCTTTTGGCATGCCCCGTTTATTACAAAATCCTGAAGGCATCTGGGATCTCACAAAGTCAAAGATTAGTATCAAGGCAAAACAGTGTTGCATCAGCACAGACAGAAATATCATCCAGCAGTGCTGGGATGCTGAGTCAATAGGTGTCAGTGCAATGGTCTGATCTATTTATGAGTCATCATGACAATAGGAGGAATTATTGACGTAACCTCCAGTGCAGCTTGGAGTTCAGAAACAAACCATCAGGTAGACAAGAAGTCATTTGTGATGGCCAGATTTTGATGTAGCTATTTTAATGCTTGGGGAGATAATGTTTTGGCTTCAGTCCGCCATCCTGTCCTCCTTTCATGGGATTGTAAAGTCGTGTTACGCTTCTGTGTAACTTCAGGGTGGTTTGTTGCTTGTGTCTTTGGGGAAAGAGAGGAAAGTAATTCTGTACATCCCAGATGTTTTAGTAGACATGATTAAGGAAGCCCATTACCTTGATCCACCACATTTGTAATTCTCACCCCTTTCCACCTGCTCTCCTTGCCTTACCCCTGCTTGTCTTTGTAGTTCTGCTCCGTGCTACGATGGCTTGTGACATTCTAGCTTGGGGCGTAAACAGTGGAAGGCAGGATTTGAAAAATATACATGAATAAAAGGTCAAAACTCTCCCAGGAAAGAAGAAAATTCTTTTTTTTATATATTTTTTTTAAATGCATAGTTATGAAAACCAAATTAACCTTTGGGGTTTTGAGGAATTCAGTGTGACAACGGTCCAGCTTAAAAATAAACAATTGCTAGTCCAAGTCGAGTGTCCAGAGATGTCCAGGTTGGCCCTGAGGATCACCAAGTGTGTAGTCCAAGCTTTAAAAAGTCGTGCTAATATTGCTCATCCACAGCTGCCTGGAAGGGCAGAAGGCACAGGCCCACGTATGGGACTTGCAGGGCTAATTCTTTTTAGTTCAATGGGAAAACAAGGACTTTGTTATGGTCTTGGTCTCTTTGATCTTACCTGCTGTCAGATTTGAATTTTTCTTTAGCGATGTTACAGTGGAAGAAAGAAAGACAAAAGAGAAGAGCTATGAATTACAAAGTTTTCACAGTAACTACTGTGAAAAGAAAAATCTGTGGAAAAAGGAGAAATGTTCTTATCTGAGCCAGTCAAGGAATGGATCCATGGTCCTCTTTCCCACACGTGACCTGGAGGAAATAAAATCCCTTCTTCATTTGCAAAGGAGAAGTCTGTTGTCTTAGGTTTTTTTAAAACTTGTAACTATAATGATTTTAGAAATTTGATTTGAAGAAATGGACAGTTCACAATTAATATAGTGGACATAATCAGTTGATGACTAGTATCACTATTAGGTGTGACAAAGGGATAAATATGGTATGAGAGAACTCATTATGGGAGGAAGGAGAAAGGATCTGCCTGGAAATCAGGAGGGTTCTCTTCTCAGCTTTTTACCACAAAACCTGTTCATTTTACTCCTAAATCTTTCTCTTGCAAGTCCTGTTTTCTTCTCAGATTTGTATCACCTCAAACCACCAAGTTTGAATAATTTAAACTGAGATTTTCTGGTCTTTCACCTCCATATGCTGCTACTGTAAAACCAAAAATCTTTTACATCGCGTATGCCGAAAGGAAGGGACAGAGAAGTTACGTACCCTGGCCAAGACCTAAGAGAAAAGCTCACATTTCTTGGTCCCTAGTGTTGTACTTCTTTCCCCAAAATTCTTTTCCAAGGCATGCCATAACAGAGTACCTTCCACAAGTGTAACTCAAGCTGTGTGTGATTAATAATTCACATTTTGTGCTAAAAGCAAATCAGAGTTAATTTTGTATATTTGCCTTCCACCATTTAATACATTAGTTCCCCTGTGAAGGAGACTCTCCGTTGCCTGGCACACGATGACTCATGCCTTATATAAGTAACTAAAACATTTTATAGTTTACAGAGAAGAATGTTCTTGCTCATTATGTGGATGAAAGGAGATTGCTGCATTTCAAATGACATGTATAATTTAGACACTTATTTCTAGGACTGTTTGGAACAGGGAATGAAGAGAAACTAAAATGTTTGAAGTGACTTGAGTGCGTCATAGTTCTTAATCTGACGAGCAAAATACACAGACCAATAACTTTAAGACTGTGCTAATGGAAGAATGGCTCTGAAACTCTAATGCACTCTTTTTTCTTTTTTTTTTTTTTTCATTCTAATAACAGTATTTATTTTAAGACATAAGTAGAAACTAGTATTTGTCAGTCTGTAAAAATCTGCAAAGACTTCATACCTTTTTTCTGCCAGTAGTTACCTGCTGTGCCACCAAAATGGAAAGAGGAATGGGAAATAGTAGCTCAAAAGGCTGAGGCAGCTGGTGAGGAAAACAATGTGGCTGCGCCTCGACTATTGGTGGGAGATTTTTTTTCCCTCTGCCTTCTAAATGTTAGACCTTAATTACAAAATAAGGCCATGGAATATTCTATATTTCAACAGTGCAGAGCTTGTTCAAGTGACAACTCAATAACATCATCATGGCTGTGTATTGGGAAATATTTATTTAATTGTTTTCTCTTCAGAACGTTATGGTAAGCTAAATGAAATGCAATTACTGGAATTTTGCATCTGAACAACCCCCAAATGCTACCCTGTTCTGCAAATGATCTTCATAGACTTAGGTATTTCCATGCCTTAGTGAACATGAGTCTTATTTAAGAATGCAGAATTCTGATCTTATATCTCAGTCCCATTTATTTTTTTTATTTCTTTTAAATTTAACAAGACAGCAGTCTTTGTGTTTCATGGACTGTTCTTGGCGGCAGTTAGCTTTGTGTATTTCTCCAGCAAATTGGGCCAGCATTTTCTGAGATCTGTGATTCTCTTAAGCAAATGCAGTGGTTGGATACCTCTGAGCAACGACAGCGTGGCAGGCTGGTGTCCTAAGTTCTGAACCCCCTGTAGAAATTTATATGAGATCTATGCCTTGTAAAAATCTCTCAAAATTGTTGCATTATTTATTTATATTCTGCTTCAAGGACAACACTTTTCAAGCCAAGAGATGACACAAAGGAGCCCTGGGCTGTATAAATATAGAATCTTTTTATTTTTTTGGTTAATAGATACAGTACAATTTTTGACTACATAAGAAAGCGTTGTTTTCAGTGCATACATTCTTCAGACAGACAGGAACAGGGCAGACAAACATTCCTTAGTGTTTTGAATATTACATGGCACTTAGTTTATTTTCTTTAAGTCCCTAGTTACTGGCTTTTCCCAGTTTTCATTAGCTGCTTTGACAACTCAAGACCTAAGGAAAAATGAATGGAGTAATAAGGATGTGCTGGCTCTTGTGGCACAGGGTTCTCGGGCAGGACAAGGGGACACTGCTCAGTGCAAGCCACACCAGTCTTCCTGTGACCACGGCCCTCATGGCATCAAGTTTGCTTGGGGTCCCAAGTGACCCGGTCCAACAAGTTTGCTTTTCTGTGTTAACACCATGTGAAAAAAACCACGTGTCAAACAAACAAGCCAGCGCTTGGGCTCAGCACTTAGATCCTGTGCAGTGACTGAGCCTCCACAGGGTCCCAGCCAGAAGTCCTCCCTGAATTTCGCTTGCCTAAGATGGTGCTGGTGTCGTCATTTTGGCAAAATTCTTTCTGTTTCTTTTGGTGACTTAGTATAAAATCAGGAAAATAGATCCCAAATTTTGACCACTAATATTTGCAGGGAGGGGCAAAAGAATTAGTGTTACCGTCTGTATTTTCTATTCACTTTATGATAAGAAAGAAATTATAATATCATCTGAGTATTATACCAATCCTGGCTAACTCCTGTATTCAGGAAAAGCCTATAATGCTTTATCTTATTATGTAGCTGTTTGCTAGTGGTGTTTCCCTACAAACGTTTCCTGGTGTTGCCCAGTTGGTGGTGGGCAACCACCATTGAGCCAGCACCACACCATTACAGCTGGAACAGGGGCAGATCAAGTTAATAAAGCAAGATGGGACTGGACAAGGCAGTGCCAACGCTCAGCGTGGAGGATCATTGAGAAGATAGGTTATGAACTGTTGAGTGGCCAGTTATAGACTCACACACTGAATAAACATTCCTACAGAACACAAGAGTGTAAATCCAAAGAGAGAAGTAAGTGCTGGACACTCAGATTATCCTTATACTCTGCATTTGCCAAGCAGCAGGATTGGAGAGGAGGGTTGTGTTAGTGGGATGTCTTAAGCAGCACAGTTTGTGCCTGCAGGCAGCCCGAAATGTTACACATCTTCTGTGGGTTCTAATTTCAGTGGTTTTGTTCGAGACTGTTACTCAGACTGTAGGTTTTTATCTGACCTTCCTTGATATCCTGAGTAGGTGGTGTGGGCTCAGCACCCAGGAGACCCCACCTTGTGAGGATAACTTGGAAGAACCAAAGAGAAACCACATTGTTTTAGAAAGGACTAGGAGAAGGATGAGATTCACATTGCTAGTCTTTGTTTTGCTCCAGATACCAATATTGAAAAATCAATAGATTAAGAAGCTTCTCTCGTTTGGGGAAGGACACAGTGAGGCTTCCAGACAAACCAATATAAGCTGGAATTCCTTGCTTATATTGGAAGAAATTGTAATGTGACCAAAGCTTGCTCTAGATTATCTAGTTCTGCCTCTGCAAGCACGGAATATAAAGGAAATAGCAGAGTGAAATGAGTCCTATACCTGATCTCATTCAAGAGGCAGAGAAAAGCAATCCAAAGGGACTGTGCAGAACAAATATCAAGAAAGAGATGAAAAGTAGAGAAAAGAGGAGACAGGAAACCAGACTGTACAAACACCAGCCTGAACAATAACCTGCAGGTGAAGGCACTTATCCTGGGACACCCATGTGCCAGGTGATTGTTGGAGAGAAGACAACACCTTTCTGTGGAAAGCTCTGAATTTGGTAGCTCTAATTCTCTGGAGTGACAAGAGGTTAAAACCAGTAGGAATAAGCACCGTTAAAGCAAACGAAGGCAGGTGTTAATACCAGATACCATTGAGCTCAGTTGGGTTAGATAAAGCAGGTGGCTGACAGGAGTTGAGTAAGAATCCCTGAGAAGTCTGAAAAAAATAATAAACATCACATCATATAAACAATTTGGCCCTTTCTGATCCTGTAGCCAATACCTCAGCCTTCGATTAACGTGGAGGCGGAGGAAATTCCTCGCCTTTAGCAGGAGCTGCGTGGTGACGCTGCCAGGAATGAGATAAACCTGCCACGTTCCTCCAGATCCCTGTTTCCCAACTGAACCTAAATAACGTGGAGAGTGAGTGAGAGGCAGAGATACTCGCAGCCAAGAGGAGAACTGCTGTGACATGGCACTAGTGGGGTACTGTAAACTGGAGCCTGGCCTGCAAGTGTTAGTGAAATGTTTAGTAACAATACTTAACTCTGTTATGTCTGGCTATCTCTTTCTCTTTTGACTAAAATGTTACAATTTTTACCATATAAATGAATCACTATATTTGTTTCTACTGGGTAAACTATATACATCACTGTAAGAAAAGAACAATAATTAAATTAAGGGAGGAGAGAAAAGGACAAACAAAATATTAGTAAATAAAATAGAAGACATATGTTCAATAATACTTTTCAGGCAATACTTTTGCTTGTTACATTTACTATAAGGAGGAGAAAATCTTCCACTCAAACTAAACATTGGAAACACAGCTGCCCAGACATCAGTCACTTGCCATTTCCAGAACACTTGAAGGCCATTTCCGCGGGTCGGAGGGTGTCTGTGCTCCCTGAAGAACTGTCCATCGATCCGGCTCAAGACAGCTTTGATTTTGCCACCGCGGAGGAGACCCGGGCGTTCAGGGGGGCTGCTGATGCCACCGATGTTTTAAAATGTGTCTTGAGCCCTTGAGCCTGGGCTCTGCTTCCCCATCTCAGGCGATGCAGAAAGGCTGATGGACGTTACTGGGAGCCAGGAGGGACCTGGCTGCTGGTGTCCACCAGTGTCCGCTTGGGTCCCGCTCGGGAAACCCACTCCGTGTTCCTCTGCTCTCTGAGAAACCTCTGCAGTTCATCCATGATTTACTCAGCTCTCTTAGAAGCACAGTTCACACAGCAGCGTTTCCCATTCTTTTCCAAAATGGAGAGCATACTTGCAGGATTTTTTTTTTTTCTATATATACTTATTTTTAAATTTATAAGTGAAGGTTTTTAAACACTGTCATTTTCTTACCCTACAGAACAAGGCACAATAACAGACTCTCACACTGATGCCATTAACAGTAGAGCCAGACAAACTCTCTACATCTTGTTTTCTTTTTGCCACCTGAATAAATTATTCCCAAAAGAAGTGATTGGTTATTTGATCAGAGCTATATATAGTTAATTTACTGTTTGATGGAAAAACTCATCCAATGAGCTTTCTGGGGCTCATCGGATGAATTCTTTCCCAGTAGTTTCTTCTGTTATATGACCAGCTCTACTTAATACATAGGTACTAAAATACAAAGAAGTGCAAATATGGCCATAAAGCAACTACAGACCACAGCTATCTACCAGGTCCTCTATTAACAAGGGGCTTGGGAGTTACTGCAGGTGATTTCCTTAATACATGGAGTCTGAAGTCAGGGAGAAGTGCAGTTCCCAGGAGCCCATCCTTCAGCTGCTTGAGTGTTCACAGTTAACGTGGTTCAGAGTTTGGAGATTTGTTTCCCCCTTTGATAATACCTGAGGCTTATTTGTCTTTACTTCAATGTAACCAATTGTAACCCATCATCCAGAGACATTTTCTTGGCTGCTGCCGGGGTGTCCAGGCTGTCTTTGCCAAGGTAATAGCATTGTTTTACAAGTGTTGGATCTCTTTTCTTCCTTGAGTTTGTAATTGCGGAAAAAAATTCTTTTTCTCTGAAGAAGTCAAATCAGTGTCAAGTCTTAGAAGAAAAGGAAAGGGTTGTTCAGACCTTGGAAGAAACTGCACAGAGAGAGAGAGTCATTCGCGGATCTAGGCTTATAACTCAGGAGGTTATAGCCTTGAGTCACTGAACATCTTTCTCATCCTCGCCTTTTGTACTTGCAAAGCAGGTTCATTCTTTCTTCCTAGATTTCTGAAGTTAACTCTGATTGCTACAAAGCACATTAAATGACAAGCACTATTTGTGTATTTTTGAAGTTATGAGTACGCCCGGGGCATGCGTGGGACGGGGGTTCTACATTGAATGGGCAGGTCCCTGCCACACACCGCTTTGGGTGGGGGGCAGCACACTTGGAATTTCTTGAATGTGAGAATTTGTGATCTGTTCAGCCCTGCGTGATCAGGCAGCAAAAATAGCTTTGAATTGCCATGAAGGGCTTAGATGTAGAGGGGGTACTACGTATCACACCGATATTTCTCTTGGTAGGACAGTCAGAGACAAACACGTGGCACACGTGTTTATAGTTTAGCACAGGCTGGTATTCCCAGGATCAAACTGCTGGGCATCTGCTTCAAAATCCAAAGGAAAGGCCTTTTTTTCCTTTTTAGTAAATAGCCTGTGTGCAGAAAGGAAACTTAAAAATGTTGCTACCCTGCTGGTGCCTCAAGGGTGTAGGTGCATGTATGTGTAACTCTCTTGTTGTAACGAGTATTTTATGCACGTTCACACAAACACGTGCGTGTGCGCTGGGAAATTTGGTCTAGTTAAGCTTAAGAAGGTTCTTATTTGAAGGCAGTGATTTTGCCTTGCAATCATTACAGATGCATCTCCATCAAGGCTCCCTATTGCATATATGTAAATAAATTGCTGTTTGAACAATTAGAAAGCACAGGGAAACAGATGTAACCACGTTGTGTGCCCTGATGGCCCGAAAGACCAGCCTGCCTCTTGATACACGAGCACTATCTGCTTTCTCTGTGCCATAGCGATTTTAGGAGTGTATCCTCTAGGCAGTGAAAATCATTAAATCACAAACTGTAACCAAAATATTTGGGATTTCAGATTCCAGAAATATTTATGGAAGGTGAGATCCCACCTTCCAAAAATGATGTTTCAGTTTTGCATTTTCTCCAAAACGTTTGGGTGTGTGGCTGGTGTTTCCAACTGATCCCTTACAGCATCGTCCTAAAGAATCCCTGCAGGATGTGTGCAGGACCAGTAGAATGAATTCTCTTTTCACAACTGGCTTGACTCAATTCTCATGGAGTGAAATGTGAATGAAGGAACTTGTAAATCTGGGGATGCCAATGAACAGTCCCGGCCAGGGGAGGAAGGAGTGGAGGCAGTTCTGGGTTACGGCTCCTACTCATGATTCCAATAGACAGAATTGTCATTTACTGCATGTGTTGCAATAGGCCTTTAAAGATAGCAAAGGAGATGATCTTAAAATGTTTCTATTCACATCAGAGATGTGCCAGAAGAAGCACATAAACCGTTGTCCTGTCAGATTTCCCTTCGTGTTTTTACCCGGCCTCTCTCTCCAGGCGTGGAGGGATGTGAGGATCAGCTGGTAGGGTTGTGGGGCGCCCTGTGTGGGGCTGGGCTGTTACACCGGGGGGGCCGAGTAGTGAATGACGGAGTTGTAATCCGGAGGTGGGCTGTGGCATTCCAGGGTGGGATCCATAGGAAGGAGAACAGAGTCTTCCAGTGTGAAGTCCATGGTGTCCTCTTCTACCTGTACTGCTGGCTGGTATTTGACAGCCTCACGCTCGTGGTCAGATAAGATGGATTCTTTGCTCTTGCTGACAGCTCTGCGCCTGTTGGGAACAAGCAGTATAATATATGTTGGCCCTGTCTCCATAAGGTTTTGTCTATAGGTGTAATTAACGGTCAAAATTATTTAAAAATATAGTATATAAAGCACTTCAGTTTACCTTTGCGGCATCGTGTAAGACAGTGACATTTTACAGATTGGATAAGGGAACTGAATTAGATATTTCAAATAAATTGGTGTTTTAAAAGTAGGTTTAGGAGTAAATCCAGGAGTCTGGTTGCCCTGTCGTTTCAGCTTGTCGTGTTTCAGTGCACTATATATATCTTAGTTATAAAAGCACCTGTCCTGTACATACAATAATATTCTCTCTTATTGTTCTGACACAGGTCAGTAAAAATTTGACTTTTCTGAAAGCAGAACTGAAGGCTATGACTTTTCTTTAAATATAATAAAGGATGAAATAACGAACAATCTATGACAGCCTCCAATTTAAAATGATCCTGAAAGCAGGAGAGTGTGTTGAACACCCTCTTGCAGCGTAGGGCAAAGTCTCTCTTCTATTTTCTAGCCCTTTAAAATTACTGAGTGGTTTGCTGGTGAAGGGCAGCGCTTTTCAACATTACAACTGCTGGCCTGTAACTGATGCTATTAAAGAGAGCCAGCTTTCATTTTCTGCTGTCGTCTCTTATTATAGGTGATGAAGGCGGTGGGAGAGAAGCAACTTCCATCACACAGAGCAACCTCAATGTTAAAAGTAGGAGAGCCCTGGAGAGGATTTGTGCGGCAAGGTGACCTTGAGGAGCAGCAAGTGGCGTGGAGGAAAAGAAAAGGTACTTTCTGTCATAGTCTGCCTTAAAAATAATGTTTTGTTAAGCCTGGTTTCTTCCATCTGAGGAATTCATTGGAAGAGGTCTGGATAATTTAGGGTTGGTTCTCAAAAGGTGACAATAGCTTTTGAACTTCTCCACGTTGTTTCGGGACCCTTTAACTTGAATCTCTTTGGGATAAGCCTCGCTCAGACTGATTATGGCATTGCTCGTGTCTCAGTTCAGAACGACTTAGGAATGTGACAGGGAGAACTTAAAATCAGGCAGTGCTCAAGCATTTTGTGTGTATATATCATGTGTGTTTAAAGGAGCATGAAGCTACATTCTAATAACACTAAAAATAATCCAGATAATCAACAGTTCATCAAATAATTGTATAATTCATTACACCTATTCTATTTGTACTGCTGCAGTGCTTGCAGTCCCCAGCAGTCAGTCATGGATTTGGAGTGTGATGCTTAGAAAGAAAGCAAAGCCAGTTTCTGCTCCAGGAAACAAAACAAGAGCTGAGAGACAGATACTGTAACTGGAGGAAGGGGAACAAAAATCATGAATAGGAAAAGTAGCAGATCCAAGACACCAGCTGCGTGCGCTGTCATGTTTTTGTGATAGTACAGCAGAGAGAACGCTGCAGGCCCAGAAGCAGGTTGATGCTTGGCGTGACAGAATTGTAATATACAGTAGGCCCAGCTCCTTTCAAGTATGAAAGGGTAAATATGTCTCGCTAGATTATGCTGCTGTGACTTTAGAAGTTGTGCTATCTTGCCTCTGAATCTGGAACCTGTCAAAAGCTTCAGTTTTCCCACAAGCTGCAGACATTCTCAGTCTGGCTGACAGAACTGGTGTCGGTATCTTCACTTAAATTTTTTGCTAATTCTGGAAAGGTCAGGAGTGTGGAGTGTGCTGTGCACTGGCTGGAGCAGAGCACTGGTTTATGGTCTGTGCACGGCTGCATTGAGCAGCCTGGAGGGTCCTTCTGTAAATTATCCTTGTAGCTCTCTTCTTGGGGGAGTGTGTGGAGCAGGTGATACCCTGTCATATCATAGTCCATGAAGCCAGTCATCCTAAGCCAGGAGCTGAGATGTTCAGCCAAATTCAGAGCTAACAAACAGCTACAGCTCTACAGTGGGATATTGGCTGCTTTGTATTTGGTTTGATTTTAGTGTCCTGTGGTGGCTTCCTATAGCATGTTTGCATCTCCAGCTTTGTATCTAGGAAGTAAACCCAGGACCCCTGAGTTGTAAGAACCAGCCCATTGTGTCTTGTACGTCTAGAATAAACTTGGGTTCTGTGACTTCTAAAATGTAAAGGCCGAGATTCTAGATTAAAGCTAAGGTTACTCTGCTTTTAGACCTGCACAAGGCATTGCAACCAAATCTATTGAGTGGTGAAGCAGAAATTCTAAAGTAAATAGTAACCCTGAGAACTTCAACAGAAATGTAGTGCACTCTGCTTTCACAATCTAAGTTTTCCCTCTTTGTCCAGAGAAAAGTGTGAGTGGAAGCTTCTTCCATACACTATACATTTGACAGCTGTCCCTTTCTGTACACACTCTTACTCTGCAGATAAATTTTTTCCTTGCGTGAGCAATGGAACCACAACTTTGATTCACTGTGTATTTATGTATTTTTCTTTTTGTTGCTCAGTTCTCTTGACTCATGTCAGACAATTCTGCTGATGCTCTGGCTTCTAATTTGCCAGGTATTAAAGTTGTCAGTGGAGACAGAGAGAAGCTTGAAAGTATCTGTTTAACTTGGCACCCAGCCTGCATATCTCAGAGTGCTGGAGAAAAAGAAAAGTTATTAGGGTTTAGTTTGGCCATACAATGGGAAATTTTCAGACCTGTGTAGACTCCTAGCAAGTGTTCTTGTTGGGTTTCTGCCTGTGTGGGTCAGGAGACTGGATATCTGGGAATAACTCTGCCTGTCACTGAAATCAGGCTGGTATTTGAAGAAGGACTCTTAAATGCTGACATCTAATATTTACTCCAAAGACAGAGAGCTGATGAGTTAGGTCAGAAGCAAGTTTTGTCATTAGCTGTCTTATGGCAGACCAAAATGCAATTAACTTTCAAAACTATTCCTTTCATCTAAAGGCATTTCCTAAATTAAAGTTATCCTAGGGTCTTCGCGTTTTTCCCTTTAATGCTCTCTGTTACTGACACTTCAATCCACTCTGTTCATGCTCAGCCACAGAGAAATGTACATATGATTGGGCTGTACATTGGGAAAGGAGACTGCAGCATCCCTTTGCTGTCTGTCCTTGAAATCTCATTTGCTACATAGGAGCTGCCACGCTGAATCCCACATCAGTCCTGCCTCCGGCGGTGGTCAGCACTCCATGCTTCAGAGGGAAGCAGAACCCCCTTTATGCTCTGAGCCAATTGTACTCCCCTGTACAAGAGAGAAAAATCCTCCCTGAGCCCCACCGATAAACATTTTCTGACTGAAGGCATTAGATTTGATTAATCACACAATTATGCAGCTACAGAAGTTAATAATGGTTATGTAATTAAATAATTTCATTAAAAGCTAGCCATTACTTGGTTCAGTGCTTCAATGCTTTGGGGCATTACGCTGCCCCAAAAGGTATTTCCTTACTGATTTTACCTCTGCCTGATTTTCGAGCGCTGCAGCTGCAGGAGGCAATAAAAGAGATGTTCAGTTTTGATAAATCTGCTCATAACTGTGACTGTCTCAGCCCAGTCTCACTTGCCTGTTCGTATTCTCACCACGGCACAACGCGGAAGATCAGGCGTGTGAGTACAGGGACATTCAGCTGAAACACATTTGCTCACGGACCCAAGCTGGTCACGTTGTACTCAGTGACCACCCTGAAAACTTGTTTGTCCTTGCAAGAATGTCTACCGTTTGGGGCAGGATAAGGGGGAAGATGAGAATCTGAACACTACCGTTTCCTGCCCTCATATAGATTTTGTAACCTAAAGGGACCCTTTTTCATAATGTGCGCGTTTCGGTGAGAGCTGGTTGGGGAAACATTTTTCACAGAATGGGATGAGCTGGTGGCAGCCTTGTTTCCTGGGCTGAGACTGGAGTTGGCCAAGGCACAGTGCTGGAATCCTCTCTTTCAGAAAAATACCTACAAGCTCGAGAGATGTATGAGGGGAAGTACAATATTGACAAAAGCTCTGGAAGAACCCATAGTAGAAGATTAGAAGAATGCAAATGGGTAGCGGCAAATCAGCTAAGAGTGACATTCATAATTACTAGCAAATCCTGCTGCAATTCAGGCTGTGTTTCTACAGCATCCCTGAGCCTGGTGCCAGGGTCGAGTCTGTTAGATGTAAAACCAAATGAGGTAGAGGAACCTACTGGTGGGGACTCAATGTTGGTAACTGGAAGGGAGACATGGTTTAGTGATGGTTTTTTATCGGTATGTTGATGGTTGGACTAGATGATCCCAAAGGTCCCTTCCAACCTAGACAATTCTGTGATTCTATAAGCAGCCCAATTATCACAGAACCTGGGCTCTGTGCTGTCGGGTGCATGTGTGGTGTGTCTGTACAGCAGTCAGTAGGTCTCGTGCCCCAGACGAAAGCTTGCACGAGTGAATTTTGGTGTAGTACTGGGGTTAGTGAGAGCCATTAACAGTTCCCGTTTTCATTGTGCTGTGTCAGATTTCCTGGTACAGATGAAGCTGAAAAGTCTAGGAATCAAACTAGATGAAGGAAAAGTTAGCCCGAATATTAAGTAATCTTTCATAGTCTTTTCAGTTTTCTGGAGAGGTGTCATAGTTGTTTAGAAGATCCCATGGAGGATAATCCTACAATAGCTAGAAGGCCTAAATGACCTAATGAGACTTTTTCATCCTACCGTATGAACCAGAGATTGTGGTTAGAGGTAGAAAAATACTGAAATTGTCAAAGAGCTGGGAAATCATTACTGGAGCTGTTTATTTAAGTGTGAAAGGGAGCCAGTTTCTATTAGTCTAAATCTCAGGGTCAATGACTTGAGGAGGAGCACGGAGATAGAAATGTCTGTAAGAAAATCCCCCTGTCCAGTGATGGGCACTTATTGCCAGGGCTGTGGAGCAGCACTTATTGCTTTGCAGTAAGATGCCTGAGTACCTTGCTCTCAGTAGGAAAAACTAATAGACTATTGTGTCCATGTAGAAATCCTGGCCTTGTTCAGGAGCTGTGTTTAGGGGAAGATGAGAAATTGGGCTGAGCGTTGCCAAGTAGAGCAGTTTGTCTCACAACCGCATCTTGTAATAACATGTAAGAGCTTCAGGGCTTTATAACAGCTTTCATAGGTATCTAATGAGGCACAGAGTAAGAATGATTAAATTTTTTTAATTTTTCTGCAATGAGAGGAATAGAAGGCTTATTTTTTCTTCTGTTGGTTATGACTGATTCACAATTTGCTTTAATACAATTTAGAGGGGGTGCTGTGCAGTAAGAATTTAATCCTGCGTTCCCCTCTGGCAGTATGAGTGCATGAATAGTCTACTGGCATGTAGAACTCAAGGCAATTGAGAATTCTTGGTTTGAAATACTTCCAAACACAAAGTACAGCTACAACAAAGTTTTAACAGGCCAAAGTCACCAACCCATCAAGTATGTGTCCCCTTGCACGTGTGGCAAAGTAGCTGAGCTGGCCCTGACACTGACTCCAGCCCTCAAAATGCAGTGAGATGAAAAGTTCTGCTGCGGAGCAAACGTTCCCCCCCTCAGTTTGCTGACATTGTGCAAAAGGATTCAAGCCCAAGCAGTTTTTGTTGGGCACCTTGCGTTTGGACATGAATGCCTGATGCTCCTGAAGCAAAATCAGTTTGCTTCAATATTATTGGCTTGCCTTAGGACCAGTATGGCTTCGGCAAAGGCAGAGCCCTCAGTGATGAGGTCTGGATGCAGGATCCAGAGCCCAGAGCACATCAGTGAGTGTCGTGGGGCTGGCCAGAATGAGATAAATCATTTCAGAGCAACTGAGGATAATACAGTTGGGGAGGGGAGCAGAAAGGAAAAGGATGAAGGGAGGACAATTGAGCAGATATCGAACCTATTATAAATTTAAACAATAACTTGATTATAGAGTCTCTGGGTGAATTTTAAAGTGGTGCTTGGCAGTGGCCTGTTAGTGTTACGAGATGAAACTTGACATCAGAGTCATCTCATCGTTAAATCCTCTCTATGTTGAATGTGCTTCCTTGAATGCTGACTCTAGTCTCGTTATTCCGGTCAGTCTTTCCATCTCTCATTACAGCTCTTGTTGTGACTTCATATTTTAGCAGTATAAAATGCTTAGAGCTCAGAAATGCTTAGTGCAGTCTAAAAGTGGTCCCAGGCCTAGAGTATCAGATTCATCTTCAGTAAACTCTTGACACTGACGCTCCGTGGTGTCTAGTGGTGCCAGATTTTAAACTCGACAGAGAAATGAATGCAAGATAAATAAACAGCAAGATTTTGGCAAAAATATAAATGCAGCCACCCTGGTTTAGAAAACATGCTAAGCCTTTGAACAGTTTTGTTTTAGAAAAGAAAGGCTGTTTGAAAAAGATCCAGGGTAAATGTTTTTGATAGAGATACACAATTAACAAGGGTGACTTTATCGCCCCTATTAAACCAACACACTCTTCTGACCTCTCCTAGACTATTCTATATGCTTTTGAGGCTTGTTTTTCAAGTTAGCAGTGCAGGAGCGCCAAGGGGTTTCATGTCCTCAAATAAGAGGGCATCAGGATGCTCTGTGACTATGTAAAAAGTGGTATTTGTGCCAATGATAGTCTGCAAGATTAACAAAAAAAAAAAAGCTGACAAAATAGCTTTCTCAGCTGGACCTCAAACGCTCAATGAAGGATGTGGCCAAGAAAAAACACATCTCTGTCCATTCAATGGTAGCTAAGGTCCTGGGAATAAGAAGACAACAAACACAGTTTGCTGCAGGGTTTGCTTTTCTAGCAGCCCTCTGCTAAGATGGGCTTTCGTGGTCTGGCTGGCACAGAAAGTATCGGGTATCTCGGGATGGCTGGAATCCCTCTGGAAGTGCTGCCTGTGAGCGGGGAGAGGCAGATGGTGTGGGGCAGGCAGAGATGCCCCGTTACCCCACCTTCGCTCCTGGTGGCCCCGAGAGCAGTTCAGGAGGTTTTCCTGGAAATCTCAAAAGAACAAGCTGTAATGGAATTTTTGTGTTTCTACATCTGGCTGGATGTTGATTTTTCTGATTTTCAGCAGAAAGCCTGGAAGGGGGAAAGAGAGATAACCGTTCTCTGCCAACTATTTGTCCAAATGGGGAAAATGCAGTCGGGGAAACAGCAGTGAGGGGTGATTGACAGAAATCTTTAGAAGGATAAACCCTATCAGGGAGGCTGTTTGTGTGTGTGTATGTGTTGGATTTGTGGCGACATGACATCATGCAGAAAAGAGAGGTAAATCAGCCTAGGTAAAGCATCACAGTAATGCAGTTCCTGACATTTGAGCTCCTTTTTTTAGAGCCAGTGCCATTTGGTCTCCATAGCAATGCACTGTGCTGGGCAGAAATCCTCTCGGCGCCTGCGTAGGATAAAAACACAGAACCGTATCTAGATTTCTGCTAATCCCCCAACAGGAACAACACTGGGACAGTGCTACAGAGGAAATAGTACTGAACGTTATTCCTGAAGCCCCGCTCCTATCCAGCAGAACCTGTGACATTGGAATGCTCCCTGTTAGCGCTACGAGGCTCCGCAGCCTCCCTTGCCTAACCTTTTCCCTTTTCCACTTTCTTCTCTCCTGCCTTCAAAACATCTAGTAATTTATGGTTTTGAGGCCTGAAAAGACAAACCAAGCTATTTCCATTTTGGTTTTCTCTTGGAGTGAGAGCATATTTCAGTATAACAGTATTTCCTCTGAAATTAGTTAGTTAGAAGTTAGGTTCTGACTGTGTGCTCTCATGTGAGCTCTCCCGTACTATGCAGAAATTCCACTAGTTTTTTCTCATCTATCACTTCTCTTTAGTGTAAAAAACAAAAGGTAACTTGATGTAGAACAAGCAATTGCTCTGGTGGGAGAGATCGTTGAGTTTAATATAGAGGAAATGAGTAGAAATCACATCGATAGATTTCAGAGGAAAGTCTAGGCAATTCAGTAAAAGTCTAATTAGCTTAATTACCTGAATAGACGGATTTCCGTGCTACAGAATTGTTTCTTTCTTAATGTTTTGGGTAGCTATTCTTTGAAATTCCGTAAGTTGACATTTGAATCAGTAAAATGGGTTACTATTGTTATTATGCTTTTCTAGGAAGGCAGAGAAGACCTATTTCACTACTGGGTCAACTCTCTGCCTGTGCCTGGTTGTTACAGAAATATAAAGAACCATGAGCTGTGAGTTAAGAGCAAAAATTCTGCTTTTATTCTTCTGTCATTCTCTGTATTATGAATGGATAAACATATAGCAAACACTAGTACAGCCTCTATTTGTAAATCAAATATGAACAATATAATTCATAGGATGATGAAGGTTGTTGGATTAAGAGATTTCTCTATAGGACTCTCTTCATGGCTATGACAAAGCAAATATAGAAATCACAGTGCTGGTACATGCTTTGCAGTGCTTATATTGTTCTTTACTATATCTGCCTTCTTCAAGGTGCCAGTCCTTCTGTATGTCTAAAGTTAAATGTAGCTTTGTTAGACACTGGTAATTATAAATGTTATTTTTTTGATTAACAAATCAAGTTCTTCAAACCTTGTTCCATCAGTGAGAGAGCACTGGAGAGGCAGTCAGGAATCAGCTGAAGTAGATACGTATATTCTCAGCTCTTTCACTCCTGTCATTTGCCACATGCAGAATATTCTGCCCCAGGGGATCAGATCATGAGCAGGAGACACCAGCTTCACTAGAGAGCACTCTCTTGGTTTTTTGAATGTGATACAGAATCACAAGGCAACTTGGCATTTTGTAAGATGAGTTAAATTGATTGACAAGACATTATGTGCTCAAAGCTGAAGAAATGAGTTTTCATTTTTATCATGCCAATCAACATTTTTCATGTTAATTAACCTTCCTGTAACTTCAGTGTAACTGCAGCATTCCTTCAGAGACTTGCAACTCTGTTTTATGTTCAATTTATTTCTGTTTACATTATAAATTTCTTGATCTTAAAATACATTAATGAATGGCCTTTCAGTTATAGGACTGAAATCCAGAGTAGCTTCCCCTTCTAACTTCTTTAGTCAGTCTAACATTTTCCTTTGGGAATCAGAAACAAAATTGCAAATTCTGGAAGCATTTTTCTGAATGGGAAACTGAGAAAAAAGAAAATATCAAAGAGCACTTACGCCAGAGCCATGATCCCATAAGGCCAAGAACGGATTTCCAGCCTCTTTGGGCTTTTTATCTCGTCTGACGTCAACACCATCCCACTGTCCGACTCCTGAGTGGCAAAAGAGAACATCAGCAGAGTGTTAAATGATCATGACAGTGTGGAGCACTTTTAGATTAGAAATGGCTTCCACGGGGAGAGTGTGGAGAAGAGTCAGACTAAACCACTAATAAAGTCAGAAGAGAAAGAAAGCCAAGGAGCTTGTTAGAATACCTAATTCCAGCAAATGCATCCAAACTCTCAACTGTGTTCTACTCAGTAAACTGCTTAACACTTAAATATGTTCAGTTGGTGTATGAAATAAAGCTCGTTCTTCAGAATATTCTTTTATCAGGGCCTATGTTATCAGTTTTTATCCAGCTGTTCCTGATAATGCTGCTGCTCAGCCTGAGAACATTTGCATTGGTTTTGTGATGATAAAGTTTTTGAGCTGTATTTTGAAAGAGCCCCCTTAAAATGAACATATCAAAAAATAATTTGACATTTTCAAACTTGAAATTGATAGTAAGCATGACATACGGATGCCATCTAGGCAGGATATCTGAGATATGAAGAGACAGAAATTCATAAAGAATATATCCAATAATACTGGCCAGGCTCCTCAGAGAAAAAATACCTCAAATACCTATAAAAATACACTATTAGAAACATTGAAATGTTAAGGAAGTGGAAGTCCAGTATCATTTTGGCAAATCCAGGTGCTTTGCAAAGATCTATAGCCTAAAAGCCTCATTGTTCTACGTTATAGATTGGTTCTGCGATTCTGTTATGCATTTTTTTTAATGAGCTGCTCAACAAAACTGTCTTGTTTAGTTTTAAAGTTGAAGTTGTGATTCCACTGCACTTAAAGTTGAGTCTCAAGGTTGCAGTTAAGATCAAGCTGTTGCTGTACTAAGTACTACACAAGTTCACAGACATGCATCCTTGTTTTAAATAATTAAAAAAATATTAAATGTTCTGCGGGGATTCTTTTGCATTTGAACTATTTTGTGATGCTGGCAAATTTCATGTCTGTCTGTCAAAAACCAAGACAGCAAAATACTTTAACACAGGAAGTGAAACTCTAGTCAATCTTTCTTTACCAAACTGCTGGAAACAGAAAATATAATCTCAGCAAACAATATATGAAAAGCAGAAGCTTTTTTGTAAATGCTTTAATAATATATCAGTCGTTAATAAGATCAGTCTAGAAAATTATTTTCAAAGTATAAAGTAAAATCCTAAATTAATTAGGTCCGTCAAAACCTCAGTAGAAACCGGCTTTTCTCACTGGTTTTTATCTCGACCGTTTCCCCTTTAAAATATATGGTCTTGAAACAATTTATCAGAGTGCTGCTTTGCATTTTGCTTACAGAAGAATTGTTAAAACAATATCACCAGAGAGGACAGATAAGCAGCACAATTGCAGGAAGGTGTGGTAGAGCACTTTCATAGGTCCTCGGCAACTGTTTGAAATAATGACCTAATCAGTATTAATGCTTTGATATGTAAGATAATTTTAGTAACCCAAGTGCATTTACTTTGTCCTAAAGTAGATCACACCATAATTTTGCTTTAAAAGATCCTCATTGAAATACCACATTTATTTCTGATCTGTTAATGTATCATTACCCTTTTTTGAAACTTGCCCCCCCTTCATGTAAGGATTTACTTTAAAATGCCACGAACAGGGAGCATTTAGGAAAGTAATGCTCCTGCTGGCAGCGGTAATCTCATACTGATACTAGATCTTTCTAGTAAATGTCTTTGTGTGATTCAGGGAGAGATTTTTATCCCGCAAGAGGAAAGATGCCAGAGCCAGAGAAAATTCTAAGCCTTCTAATCCCTAAGATGCACTGATAAAGGCACAGAAATTACATCTGGCAAAATAGTAGGGAATAATGGGCCTCAGTTTGTGCTAACGAGAAAATAGATGAGAATATTTGTCAAGGATGTGAAATGAGTCCAGGACAAGTTCTAGCCAGAGAGCTGGCCCTTCCCAAGAGAGTTGGTGTGAGGGACGGCTGGTTGGCCAGGAGGGACTCTCAGCTGGAGCACAGGGACTGTTCCCCGACTCGCAGAGGAGACAGACTGGCTTCTTTCTAGAAAACTGTACACATCTGTCTTCCCTCTTGCTGCCCCCAGCCCTCTGACGCTTGCCCTCGTCCTTTGCTGGAAGGTTTCCTGAGGACTTCATGCTTCCCCCCTAAACTTCAATCTGCTTCAAACCCTGCTGTGTTACAAAGCTCCCTCCTCAGCAGCACAGGATTTGTCACTGAGGCAAGTGCTGTGAACTGCACATGGCACTGCAGCCCGTGGGTACCTGAACCACAGAGGAAATTCATTAATTGGGTGGAGTTTTTTTTATAAGGAATTAAAAAAAGAAAGAAAGAAAGAAAACCACCCCAACCCTCCACCCCTGGGACCTGCCGTTTCAGAGGCACTCAACAAGCAGAGCCATCATTCTGTATCAGAACAAACTTTTGTTTTCCACTGGAGTGAAAATGAAACCTTCAAATACTCTGCCATCCTGCAGTGCCATTAAACTAGCAATAAATGTGTTCATTTAGGGTGAGGAAAATCCAGGGTTTGAGCCTTTTGTGTGAATCTTGGTCTTGTCTATCCAGAACTGAAAGTCCTCAACCACCACCAGGTTACTGGCCCTCTCAGCCAGCCAGAATGTGTTTTGGACATATTTCCTTCAAAAGGCTCCATTTCAACCAACTGCCATTTTCTTATGGTGGAAAAACCATAATGAAATATGTACTATAAAGCCCCTTAGTCTGATCAAAGCCAGGATAATTATGCATCAGCTTCTCTTTGCATTATTTGTTAAGATAAATGTAGTTCCCTCTTTGTTGTCACACAGACCTATGTGTGAGATGCTTGGGCCAAATCTTCTGCTTGATTTAAAGCTTTTTCTTACCAAACAGATTTCAAAAGCTCTAATAACTGTTTCTGGTGCTGGTGACAAGTGATCTGTGAACCCGGTGGAGAAGGGTGCAATCACCTCGCTTACCTCATGCATCACTTTCTCCTTTTCCACTGGCACCTCATCAAATGTCTTCACACTCAGTGGCCGCTTCTTGCTGTTGTTACTGAAACCAAGAAAGTTGAGGGGTCAGTGTAAAATCCAAAATGCCAAGATGCTGTACCACGTGGTAGCTCAATTAAATTTCCCGACACAGCTCAGTGTCCTGGACCAGTTTTCTTTTCTCATCTCTTGTAACTCATAAACAATACTCTGATAAATTTGTCTGTCTGGCTCCATATTGAGGGAGGACAACAAGCAGCACCCAGAAATATCAAATATTTCTTTCCCACCCACCCTCTGTATATATTTTTTCTTACCCAGTTTCCACTGCGCTCCAGCGATTAACACCGTTGGTCAAGTTTTCTTCCACGGGGCAAGTTTTGGCATTAGATTCTCCATCAGGACACAAGGTGATGTTCAGTGGAATATAGTCTTTACCATCCTATGTAATTAATTACATAAAAGAACACAAAGGTAGTAAAGTTCATTTTGTGCTGCCTCTCAGGTGTGAAAGGTTATTGTATTTCACAGAGCTTTACACTGAGGAAGGACTAGACTTTATTTTAGCTTTACTTTATGATGTTTCTTAAAGTGATTATGTTGTTCTTCACAACACGTGGAAGTTAGAATGTATAGTTTTATCCAACATTTACTGTGTACAAAGCTTTATAATAGGAGAACGGTAGACCTTGGGAAACCTATGACACAGAGTGAGTGGGAATGGTCTCTAACATTCCAGGACTCATCTGCAGTCAGTGTGTTTTCTCTTCCAGGAATCTCAGCCCCAGCTATTGCTTCACTGGTCTTTAGAGCAGTCACAAGACTGCTCAAAGTCCCTCTTTTGCACAGCAACACGATGGTTGTATTGAGGGTGTCAATATATGTGAAGCCAGTTTAAAAGTTGCGTCTTTGGTAACTAAATCCAAGTTTAAGCTGCATGTTTGGGAGAAGGGAAGAAGCGGCATGAAGTCACACAACCTAGAGCTGGTAGGACTTCAACAGATTTTGGAATAGGTAAAAGAATATTGCCTGTGTATAGACTTTTTGCTTACGTTCAGCTTAAGGAGTTACAGCTTAGGAAGAGCTGGTCCTTCAAACGGTAGCCTTAAAGGATTTTATTTCTTGTCTTTACAAGAAATTGGTGCTGCAAGTTTAATGGCGTTCAGTGCACATCTTAATAACCTCTGCATTGTCATTCCGCCTCTGCAGTAATCTTCTGAAATGACTCTTCCTTTAAGTCCTAAAACTATTTGTCCAAATTTCCCTTCACTTGATTTGGTTTTGGTGTTTTTTGTTTTTTGTTTTTTGTTTTTTTTTTTTAATTTTGAGAAGCAGTTAAGTACCCTATTCCCTTATAATTTTTATGTCTCCTTAATTTACTTTGGTAATAAGATAAAACTCACAAGGTCTTCATATTGCAAACTGGGCCCTCTTCAACTTGGCTTCACTAAATTTGTTTACAAACAGAGTGTTTGGTATCTCCTTAAATTAAATTGTCAGTTACATAACCCGTCTGCTTGTTTCTACTGGAGAAAAAAACAACTGATTTAACCATTATGAAATTAATAATTATGTAATTGACTTTCTGAGCTTTAAACGGCATCATTTTAAAGCTCCTAAGAGCACTGATGAACATAAGCTGGGAAAATGAGAGAGAAGGTTCAGACCGACCACTGGCAGTTTACTAGGTTGGAATCCAATTAAAATTGTTTGTGAGATAAAGCACTATTGTTCCTTTAAGGGACAACTGAGCCTTTTTTTAATTAATGTAAGTTTCTGCTTATTATGGATGGACAAATATCTAGTTTTGAAATATAATCCCCTTTGAATAGTTAACATTTTCTTTACTCATCCCAGTAGCCATTTTCCTTGTGACCTCTGCTATGAAGTCAAATCTAATGTTACTGCTCAGTAGTCATTACCTGTGCGTGTGTATTCATGTGGTCACATACGTACACATCTATATGTCCACATTGGTTGAAGAAATGTTTGCATTGCTGTACCTGCTGTACGTTGGCTTGAAGAAGGTCTCCTAAGCGCTCCACAAGCTCGGTGAAAGTCGGTCTCTCTGTGGGTACTCCGTGCCAACAATCCAGCATTGTCTGGTAGCTACAGAAAAATACAGGTATTAAGAAAGGAAAAGGATAGGAGCTTTGCTTCCAAATTGTTTCTTTCTGCTGCTGCTTGTTTTGGTGGTTGCTTGGATAGTTTTGGATTTAGACAGGTTCAGATCTCCATGTGCTGGAATTCTATTCTAGTTTCCATGTGGGACACTTTTTCCTTCTATATTCCTGCCTCAGCTGAGCCTGTAGGACTTTTATTGTCACCTGACTTAAAATTTGACTGCTGGGCCCCACTGAAATAAGTCATAGGTGTAAATGTCTAGTTTCTGTCACTGAAGATGATCAAGGCAGATACAGTAATTTCCTGAACTGAGATTCGTGAACTACAACTGATACTGGGAGACTGTTAATCTTGTTGTTGGCAAAGGTCAAGTTGATTTGGTCTGTCTTTAGCATTTGTCTGTGGTATCGGGACACCCAAAGTATGCCCAACTCTGTTGGCTGAAAACAAAATGCGTAATACATAGCTGTCATCTGATGAGGTCTCCTTCTCCTTCCATACTTAAATACAATCTCTTTTGTAATCCCTACATGACGTGTCATCTCACAATACAAAACCTGGTGCTCTTACATTTCTGGAGTCGAGTACTCTGGAGATCTCATCCGGGTTCCTTCTTTGAGCCGTCGGCAAAAGTCCTCGTCTATCTGCACTCCAGGGTATGGGGAGGCGCCTGAGGGGAGAAATGAAGAGGAGGCTGCAGAATCTCTATTTCCCAGTCCAGTGAATTACAGGTGTGTCAGTGACTTCTGCTGAGCATTTGAGATTACCCAGCATCTGACAGCAGAAGAAGCCAGAGCAAAGAAGGGGTTGTAGTCACTTGCCATATACACATTTTGTTTGGAAACCTGTCACACACCCACTCTGTCTCTTTAGAGATTTCAATCATGCTGCTTCCTCTGTGTTTGTGATATAGCCAGGACCACTCCAAGGTAAAATATGTCAGAAGAGAAATAAATTTTATAAGTTTGAGACTTTAAATGACCTGTCGGTCAGTGGTAGAAAAATTCCAGCTCACTCAATTGGTTACTTACTGGTTTCTAAACTGTTAGTCTGGAAGTTGGCCTAGCAGTCATCTGAGACTTATTCCACTTCCCTGTGTAAATGGTTATCTTCAGCATCAAGACTCATATAAATCTATGTACCCATTGAATGGGCTCTTCTCCTCAACTAATGAATGAGTGGAGGCTTTTCCAGGGTGGTGATCTTTGTCGTATGACACTTGCACTTTATGATGCACCATAAATAAGGGGAACAAATACATAACTTGAGAAAATGCTCTGGCATCTGAATAACCCAGGTAAAATTAAGAGATATCCGCTATGAAGTTTGAAAGGTTACTGAACTTATTATAGATAGACCTAAAAGATCTGTAAGCTTTCCTCCCTTTCTTCTTAGCAAAGGCATCACACCCAGTGCAACCCTTGTCTTTCACATTTTGGCATCCTAGAGGCTGGATGGTGAACTTGGAAGAAAATTTAATCAAGTCTTAACAGGGGATGGAATGGAATCTGGATCTGTACCCAGCCCTCGAGGAATCTCTATGTAATTTACTGTCTATAACATTCCTGCCTATTTTTCTTTCCCCCCATTTGGGAACACCATCATGTTCTGTGCACTTGGGGGCACAACAAGCACAGCAGAAATCTTTTGGATAAAAGGAATGAAGACAGTGCCAAAGCATGGCTGTCCCCAGAATTATTCTATTCTGTGATTCTGACTGCTCAGTCTGCAAAACTACACGCTGGGGAGCAAAGATCCTGGCAACTTCCTAAGAGGGCATCTCAACACAGCACACAGACTCCAGTGACTTTCGAAGTTCGGGGACACTTAGCCACAGCAGATGGGAGTTGTCTTGATGTGCAAGTATCAGATCACAGAATTAAGAGTGTTTCCTGGATTTATGAAGATTGGAAATTGTCGTGGGCTTCATTTCTGCGCTATATCTGATTTTTTCCTTCCTAGTTTTGTCTTGGTCTGTCATTATGATCATATGAGCATTGGTGAGTGGCTGGTTTACACTGACCACGCTGATGTGCAAAAGAAACCCTTCAGTTTGCTGAGTACCAGTGGCTGGATCTGGCTCATGAGCCCAGAAGATAAGAATTAATCTTGTAAATGCATTGATTGGAACCGAGACCTTGATGGCAACACGGTAGAATGGGTGAGGAGGGATGGAGAGTTCCACTTGATCTCACAGTATGAGTTATTATTCTTTGACTATATCATTGATCATATCAACTGCAATATATTGGTGAAAGCAAGTACAGAGAAGACGAAGAATTATTTTTGATGGCAATATCTTTTGGTAGTTTATATTTTGACTGGTGCTGGGTTTCTACCAGCTGGAGGCAGCTCAGATCATAAAAGCGAGGAGCTCGCCCTTTTCCACCTCTGCTCACTGTTGTACTTCATCTGGACTCTGTGATAAGCCTAATACCTTGGATTTGGGAAGCTGAGACAGCCTGGGAGCAACGTAGCCTGAAACATATGGCGTAAGGTCTACACAGGACATTTTTCTTGGGGGAAATCTCTTCCAAAACACTCAAAGATGTGGCATGCACTGGATATGGTAGCACTCTTTTGATCTTGGTTTTATTTTAGTAGGATAATAAGATGCTGATGTTATACTACCAGGCACTGCTTGTTTACATAATTATCTTTGATTGCTTTTTGAGCAGTGCACATTTAAATACCAGGAGACGCTGACATTCTGTAATGCGCCATGTAAGTGATTTCAAGATGCATTAAACATCGCTGGCATTACCTGACATGAGGTACCTGACCCCATTTAAATAATGCAAAGCTCCATGCAAACTCAGCCCCAAATGAAAATTAACAGTGTCTGAAATCTCCCAATTTCCCTGTGTATCACCAAAATGGATCCAGTCTGCCAGCCTTTCTGGAGAAAGCCTGTTGTGTTTCATTCAACTTCTGACCCTGAAAGGACCCGTGTCCAAACTAAACTGTGCATTTTACTAATCAGTATTTTTTCCTTTTTTTAGAGGGTGCTAAGTTGGTGGGATTCAGTAAAAAGCAGCACTTGTAAATGGGAGCCAAAACATACCCTATAGCAGCGACAAATAACTTCCATCCCCTGGCTCTCAATGATCTGTAAAACTTTTATATAAGAGAGTTCAATCAGTGACACAAATCCTTAATTAAATATTTATCGTGTGAGCTGCAGATGTGAGTAGTGCCAAACTGCAGCCATGCCTGGATGAGCTGTATGAAAAACCCTCTTAGAGAAAATGACGGTTTTGAATCTGTGCCATGGATTGAAGAAAGTAGTTTGTGATCTACGTCATGAGGAGGGCAGAGGCTGCTCTACGGATGGCAGCCCTCGGGGTAATTTAGTAGATTCCTCTGAATTCAGAAGAGGACAGCCTATTGTTCCAAGTAAGCACCTTCATTAAGAAAAGAGGCTATCTAAAATTAAAAGAAACTAGATAAATTATTTTTAAAAGTAGTTATAATAGAGATGAATTTCAGCGACTGTTTTAATTTTTATTAGTTTCCAGCATTAAAGGCCAAATGACCCAAAGTTCATATCTGTTAAACTCTGTTCAGGACCTCGGGGAATGGTGAAACCCCTTTGCTTTCTGCAGTGGTCCTTGCCATTCATCAGAATTCAGTTCGTTTGGTTCCTTGGAGATGCTCAGTGGAGAGCCTCCTCCCCTGAGTGTGTCTCTGCATGTTAATGCTGATACATCTTCCTGAACAATCTGTTAGAAGTGGGGCATTGCTTCTGGAGCTTTGTCTTTCTGTAGGGTTTCAAAGCACTTACAGCAGGTGACGCCGTTAACAGAGCCGTGGAGGTGTTACATCAAAGTAACAAAACTCTAAATAAGTTGGACTGAATTCCAGAGAAAGCAATAACCGCCTCTTGTTTTAACCATTTAAGTATGAACTTTCTGTTTTTCAATCTGATACGAACTAGAAAAAAATCCGAATCAAAGACTTGGACTGAAATCAGGGTGTGATCTTTGTAGCAAGCCCTAAAGATTAGGATAGAAACAGCCCCAGACTCTGCATTCAGATCTGGACTTGGCATCTTGAGCCCAACCATTAATTTCAACTGATCCGTGACCCAAAGATAGGAGGAGATTACAGCGTTTGCTTTAAAATTCAGCAGCTTAAGCTGACAATGCTTCTTGTTTTCTTTTGTCTGCGAATGCTGATTAAAAAGCCAGAGCTGACATTCCTAAATTCCCTCAGGAACACAAACCTTGCCACTCCGCAAGGAGAATTTGAGAGCGGCAAAGTCCAACTGTCTGTAAGAAGTGCTTGTCTAAATTTCAGGGCTTTATCTGCTGGCCAGTAACCAGATCTCAGGGAGGCTGAGATTTCTAACAGCAGCGTAAAATGAAATCTATCGTAAAGAACACCATTACTACTCTTTCAAAAATGTTGTGGCTTTGCAAATGATACGGCCAGAAGAGGATACTTTCTACCTGCTGGCTGCCAAAACGGCTTACGCAGAGTCTAGCGCTGCTGCTCGCATCGACATGATGGCAGCTGCTGCCAACACATTTTTCTTAGAAAATCTTAGATTTTTGTGGGGAAGATAATCAAGCTGGACTATGCCATGTGGGCAAACTCCCTTGTGTTCCATGGGCTGCCACTAGCAACATCTGACCACCATGTCAACAGGAATGGGATCCTCCACAACCTCTGAGCTGCGTGGTGTCCTGAAGCAGAACAGCTTGGAGCAAAATAATGGTCTGACAGGGAAACTTCTTCATTGCTCTCCAAGAAATATTTCACTCCCGAGCAGCAGAGGTTTGCATTATCTCTGTGCTCTATGGCTTTCGGTTATTAGGAATGTTACATCCAGGGTTTTGGATATTTGTTTGTTCCCTCCTCCCCAATATTCACTGTATTCATATACTTTGCTGGGTGAAGTTCTCAGTGACTTCAGTGACTTTATTTTACCCCTGATCTGCGCTGTGCACTTGTACTAACTGAAATAGAAACACAGCACCACATTATCACCTTTTGTTAAAAGCTTTTCTTAGCAACAGAGCCATAAATTAGGGGGCAAAAAAGGGTTTTAAACCATTCTTACCTAGTGAAAATATTTCCCATAGCAGCACTCCAAAAGACCACACGTCACTCTGCGTTGTGTAAATTTTGTCGAAAATAGCTTCTGGAGCCATCCATTTGAGTGGAAGCCTTGCCTAGGAATGCAAAAAGGTACAACATGTTGCTGGAACTGTTGTTACTAATCTGCCCGAGCCTCGGGGGAATAAAATACTTAAGATTAGCATTTCAAGTTTCTTCCACTTACGTCTCCTTTCCGTACGTAGTCAGGGTCTTTGTAAATGTCCCTGGCAAGTCCGAAGTCACAGATCTTCACCACGTTGTTCTCTGAAAGAAGGATGTTCCTTGCTGCCAAATCCCGATGAATGCACTGGGAAGGAATGAGGACAAGGAAGATCAGAGAGGCTGCCCAGACAACGAGCCACTGCCAGAGTTGAAAGTGTGTGACCTTCTTTGAAAATGGAAAAGATAAATTAAGTTTTTTTGCAAGCAGGTTAGAGAAGGGAAACGTGTGGGGGAATCTGCTGCAAACATACTGTCATATGCAAAAGGGAAAATAACTCGGGGAAGAAGACAAGTATTAGTCGTTTTTTTGATTTTTACTGTGTGGTAAGTGCACACTCTCAGTTTTGTGCATACTTTTCTATGCGTATTACATTCAAGTTACTTGAAAAACAGGCATTCCACAGGCTACAAACATATTTTTTTTGTATCCAAAAGAGGTGCTAACTTTGCTGATAGTCTCCAACATTGCTGACAAGCTAAATAAATAGCTGGATACTCCCTCTTCATTTTTCAGTAGTACTTTTCGTGACCATACTATGCAGCTCTTTCTTTATGAGAAGCCTTTTCTATGTTTATTTATGAGGCAGTTCCATGAATTGTCTCACAATCTGTATTCACTCCTTCTATCTAAACTCTCATGTTACAGATGCCAGTCCTTGTAGCCAAGAACATGATGGGTATTCCTTCACAGCTACGTCAGCGCTACATATTGCTTAACCACCACAGCTAATGTCATCTCCAACACTTAATATAAGAGCAAAAAGGAGATTACTCAGGCTCAAAAGTATATTTGGATTTCTTCATATCAGATACTTGTGATTCTGTGAAAGAAGTTCAGCCCTGACGTTTTAATGAGCTCACTTTTCGGGAGGCGAGAAACTCCATGCCTTTTGCCACTTGGAAGCTGTAGCAAATCAGATCCTCCAGAGTCAGGGGGCGCTTGTAGAGATCCTCGGCGTCTAGGAGAGATCACAGACACGGTGAAACACCACAGCAACAGCTCCAGGCTTTTCTGTCACCGATGCCACTTGTGTGCTGATGACCCCAGCCCTGCATCTGAGTATTGTTATGAGTTCTCTACTAGAATTACAACTGTGGTTTAGGAACCCCTGACCTAGAGGCAGAAGATCAGATGATTAAAAAAGTTTCCTCCAACATTAATCATGTCATTTAGGTATAGGGAAAAACCAACCTCTGGGGATAAAAGTGAGGAAAACTATTAATAGTGAGTGAGTGATGAGACGGGGGACAGACACTTCTCTTACACAACAGGAGCAGCTCTTTTATGCAAACATTATTGCAAATCTCTTTCGGTGAGAAAGTTGGAGTGGGGCACAGGCAAGAGAAAGAATTTGTGACTTCAGGAACAAGTCAAGCTGTGTAAGGGCTTATAAAGTGTGTGAGTGTGTGTGGCACTAACCAAGTAACAGCAATCTTTACAATACAAAATCTGGGATGAGGTAGGTTTTCTTTTACCTTCTTCATCATCTTCTGAATCACTGTAACTCTTATCTTCAATAAATCCAGAGCTGGCCGAGCTCCCTGTGCTGGCTACGCTCTCAAGGCGCCTCTTGATCAGTTCGGTCAAATCACTGTTGGACTCATCCAGACTTTTCTCTGCTTGGTCTGAGTTTTCCTGGGACTAGAAATGGTATAAAACTGACATTTAGCTTTGGATGGTGCAATGCCTGGGGATTCAAAATATGTAACAGAATGGCATATGGAGAAAGTGTCCTCTGAAGATGAGCTCAAAACATGTTTGAACATGATGTTCCCTGAATTGCAGAACCAATAAAACCTGGTTTCCTAGTTATTAGTACAGAACCTCCCATTTACTGGTAGCTACATTCCACCATAAAAGTTAGCTGGAAACTGGCTGGGTGAGACTGATAGATGAGCAAAGATATATTTTACTTCTGTACCTCTTCCTTTCTTAGGAAGCCATGTTAAAAATCCCAGCTCAAGGTATGTGCATGAGGTGCACTGAAACTCAGCTGTCTCACCCTGTCCCGGGGAGCGGGACGTAACCAGTCCCTGCAATTCATGAAAACAATGGTGAGAAAAGAAATTTTGAGTGGCTGTACCAGGAAAATCTCCTTCTCTTACACAAAGTACCTTATGTACTTTTGTGCTTGTACACAATAGCTCTAATAACAATAATAATAATAATGGAATCATCCAGGAAAATAATCTTGGGGAGGCTCCAGTTTCTGGCAGGACTTAGATCACCAAGCCCTTTCCATGCTGTGTTTTCACCATGAGAAGGGAGTCCCATCCTCTCCCCATCACAGATTTCTGGCCTCCTGTGCCTTCCCTGGTATCCTAGGCCAATTTCTGCCAGCACAAATGTTTGTGTGGATGCAGATGACCGTTTGGAAACCAAAACCATATGGTTAATTTTAATGCAGACCATGTTGGTGACCGAGTTTGCTGCATCCAGCACAGATTTTCAGGCTGGCACAGAGGAAGGGAGGGCACAGAAGATGGGAGTGAGCAGATGATGGAGGGGGAAGGTGCATTTGGTATCTGGGGGGATGGGCCTAGAAACAAAAATCCCCAAACTGGGTTTGTATTTTGGGAGGGTTCACCTTCTCCCAGTTCAGTTAATACCAGTTTTTCACTGTGTCTTTGTTGCCCTCCATGTGCTGGGTAGGATCTCTCTCTTTCAAATGCACTGGAGTGCTGGGGTATTTGCAACTAATTCTTTAGTAGGTGCTAGAAAACAAGAGGATGGGAGTGAGATCCTGCAGGGAAAAAAAATTCCTTTTCTTGCTCATAAAAATTGAAATGTGGTGAAAAAATAATGTGCCTGTATAAATACCAAACTGTCTCAGCGTCAATGCAGGAAAAAATCCATCTTGTGGTCAGTTGTTGTCACCTCTCTGCCTTGTGACTAGGAGAAGCCTGTCATTTTTTTTACCTTGTATGCAATGAAATCTCCTCGTTTTCCTCTTAGATAGTTGGACAGGTTTCCGTATTTGCAATATTCTACTATGACCATTAAAGGACCTAAAAAGACAGTGAAAGTCAAATGAGCTTTGAAGCACTGCAAAGCACTTACTAACTTATGCTCACAAATCCTCTTCAAAGAAAGTAAATACTGTCATTCCTATTACACAGATGAGGAAATTAGGAAACAAAGTGGTGACACTCCAGAAGCACACAATCAGCAGTGGATATGGAGAAAAAGGAATACAGTAGTATTCCTAGTTTTTCCCATTAGCTGGTAACAGTTGGTATTTATTCCTTATTTATAAACAAAGGAAAATTCAGAATGATAAGTAAGAATATACGATGTCATATGTTGTTAACGTTGGTTTACTCTATACATAGATCCATAGTATGGAGCTGTCATTTTTCTCTGTTGCCTTCACAATTGTTTGTTTTGGGTGGAGCTGGTGCCACTAGAGGCAATAAAAGTAGGTGGGATCATAAACAGAGCTAAATCAAAAGTCGCAAAAAGATTTAGTCTGAAGTTTTTTGAAAGCCTGGAAAGTCCTATGGATGCTTCCTTTCTTGTTTCTGTGCAAACTGCTGTAGAGTTCAGTGCAATTGCTGCTTTTATACAATTATGCATATTTTTAAGATCTGCTAGAAAATGCTTTTATGTTTCAGTGAGCTCTGTTAGGAAAGGGAAAAGCTGCATTCTCTACCTTTAGCATAATCACTGCTTCTTGTAATCACCAAATGTAAGACAAGGTGAAATTTTGGGACTAGAATTCATATCAACATCTATTATTATCAATCCTAAGCAACCAGATTCTTTTGGTCAGAAACCTTTTTCTGCCTAGAAGGTCCGTGGTTCAGATTTAGGAGTCTGAACTTCAAAGGAAAAGCTCCGAGAGCTGCACTTGGCCCTTGGGAAGGAGGCAGCTCCAAGCGGCTCTTCTATCTGGCTGTAGCAGAAACACTAATAACCAATAGTTTGTCCATAATAACATTGCATATTTCTGCCAGGCTTTTTATTTGTACCAGTCCTAGAGCACTGCTGGGTTGAATGCACATCTTTGGGCTGTTCAGGACTTCCAGTCCCTACTGACTATGGCTATGGCATATTTAGCACCTGAGCACACTGCACCAGTGACTGCAGAACCACAACTGGCCCCAAACCAGAGCTGCCAGTGGTTCTGCTGCTGCCCACACACTCTGCTCACTTGGGCTGAAAGGCAGCAGAGCTGGGATCCCCCAGTGCCCAGAGATCTCGGGGGTACACAGTTCTGAAGAACCTCAAGTTGAGTGTCCCTCATGGATGCCCTGAGGAAACGCAGATTCCAGTACAGCTTTAAAGCTCCAGTTAGTGATTTATTCATGTTTTTGAAATGCTTCCTAGGCACGGCCTCTCCATATTTTATTTTCTCATTGTAAAGTGTGTACTCTGCATTAGTTCTAACTGCTTAACATCAGACCCTCAGACAAGGTGTTAAAATTTGTTATTTTTCATATTGTTAAAATAATATATGTGCATACTTAATATCAGTCTTCAACGGGAATAGGGTTGCATAAAACCTAGCAAGGAAGGAGAAAGCAGCACTCTGCAGTGGCATTTTAATAGTAACTCTTATCCCAGCGTCTGTCTTGAGAGCTGGAGGCTGTTTCTCTGCAGCCCTCCGTGGCCTTGCCCAAAGGCAAACAAGCCTGAGAGGCTCCTGGGTGCCCTGCAGGGCCCTTGGCACCGCTCGGCTCCATCCCACGCTGCCCGGGGGAATCACCGCTTCCCTGGGCAGGAGCAGGGAAGAGGGAGGGTTTCCTCCGCTTGGGGTGGAGCAGGGAGAACTGGAAACTGAGGCACTCCCAGGAGAAAAAGTTCCTCAGAACTTGGACAATCGAAGTATTTGATCAGTTACTGGCACGTGTCTTACTGTGTAACTAGAACTCTGTGGCTGAATTGGTGCTTTGGTTAAAAAATATTGACCTCTCAGTAATGCTGGCATGTTTCAGGCACCTGTCTGTGTTAACCCACCTTGTTGACTTGTCAGGAGAGTCACCACCATTCGGGATGTCACTTCCCCTCTACTCACAGTCCCAAGCCAAGACTACTCGCTCACATCTGCATCTTAGAACCCTCCAGCTTTAGCCACCCATCCTCCCATCCAAGCTTTTGGGGTCTGCGGTGCTACAACAATCCCTGCAAGTTCCCTGTCCCCGGCTCCCATATTACAGCAGTATCTGTGGTTACTGCTTGCTGGCTGCTCCTTGTGGAACTGGGAATATCTTGCTGGAGGGAAGATTTCTCTCCTGGCATCCTCCCAGATCTACCTCACTGAAGTTTTCTTTTTTTTCCCCCGTGGCTGGACAACTACATGTTCTTTGGGAAGATGATAGCTGCAGAGTCTCAGATGACAACAGATGTGTGCACCGTCTCTCTCACATTTTCCCCTTCATTTATTTTACTCTGGTTTCTTTGTCCTCAGCTCTCCTAAATCTATCCTTTGGGCATTGTTTTGAAGGTTCATTGTAAGCAGTAAAGAGGCATCTCTGAGAGTTGTTACCCTGAAGTTACAGCACCGCGTAGTAACAGACAAGGATGCTTTGTGTGACAGTACAGGAATGGATGTTTTAGTGACAACGGTCTAAGATTTATGGAATCCTTTGTTTAAATCTGCACTTTGCAACAGACTCTTTGTATGATGTACTGTCAGTTGTGTCAGCTCAGCCCTTTGGAAGTCCCTGCTGTTGCTCCATTCGACTTTGGACTGCCTCAGGCTTCCTAGATACTACGCAAAAAATGCCTGTGTTTGCCCAGTGAGAGTGAAGTGTTTGGGAAAGGAGGAGGCCCCAGGGAGGTAAGTGCTCAGCCTGGTGCATCCTCCTGATAAGGCAGGGAAGAAGAGGAAGAAGAACCTTTGAAATGATCAGTAGTGTCTATGTGGAGGAACTGGGCACCTAGTTGCAATTAAGGATCCTGCCTCTCTTTGGTCCATAATCCCTTTTGGAAACAAGCTTACAGAGGACAGAAAAAAAGAAAATAGAGAAGTAACACCACTGGCTGGGAGAAGATGTTCAGAAACCACTGATGAGATGTGGCCATATTCTGCAGTAGCAGAAACTCTCCTATTCTGTCTTTCTAATATAAAAATATCTTGCTTGTGTTAGCTGTGCATGAGACTTGGGTTCCACCACAGACACATCCAAACACCTTTGTGTCTGAAAAGTGTTTTTTCTTTGCTCCTTATCTACTGAGGACTTCTCACCTCCAGCTTTGGTGCAGGCTCCCAGCAGGTTGACTACATTCAGGTGATGTCCTATATGGATGAGGATCTTCAGTTCCGACATTAAAGCCTTGCATTCGTTTGTAGTTGCACATTCTGCTTAAGATAAACAGGAAAAAATCATCTTTACACAACAGGATATTTTTAACAGGACACAGCAAGATCCTGTTTATACTTGGAAACAAAACCCACCCAGGTTACTTGCAGTATCTTTGCCTTTCAGACTCTTAAACAGATAATAATTCATCCGTTTCATTGTCTGTTGACCTTTATGAAGTGGAATAACACTTTATCTTGTGGGTGACTCTTCCTTTCTCTAGCATGGGTTATGGAGGGTTGCTGTCCTGCAGGTCAGATCCCAGAGAGCCTTTGCAAGGACTGCATTTTGCAAGCTTAGCAAAGGAACAACAAACCACTGCAAGCAACAATAACACACAGAAGGATGTCCTTCCTCCATCTCTAACGGTGATGTGCAGGTCAGCAGTAATTCCTTACAATACCTTGGAATGGATTTTCCCACATTACTGAGCAATTCTCCACCGCAGGTGATGGAGGAATCCAACTCATCTGTGAGCTGGGTCCCAGGATGTACTGGAGAATGTACAGCTATACTAAATCCCAGCCCTGTGAGATCTCATGGACCCAAGAAAAACATTTTCCAGGAAAAGTAGAGGGGACCATATTTGTGTGTGAACCATGAACTTGACACTTGATGAGACAATGACGAGCCAGTTCTACTGTACTTTCATTCTCCTTTGCTGCCAAGGCTGAGGAAGGCACTCTCGGCCCAGGACGTTGTTCAGATTCTGGCTTGTTTCCTCTACTGTCTTTCCAAAACTTCCATGATATATTTTAACAAATCGGGCTGTGTCCTGTTTTCTCTGGTTTTGCCTTTGCATCATGTAAGATTTAAATATGAAGAAACAGTTCCACAACAGATTATTTGGTGTGACAAATGTGACCTCTTTATCTGTTTGTAGAAACAAATCTTTCACCAAACTGTGTCATAAAGAAGGAACTATTCCAAGCCCAAGAGTTCTACAGTCAACAGTATTTGTAGGTGGGTGTGTACATATGTGATATTACTCCTGATTTACCCTGGCATGAGCTGGAACACTCACCTGCCAAAATCTAAATGGAACAGTCTCTGAAGTGTGGCAGATATTCTTGCACATTACATTCAACCAGCCCTACTTCATGGGAACATCACATAATGCTGGAATTACAGTAGTGAAAACATCTACGGGGCCTTTTTTCCCCCTGAATGGATTAACTCATACACAAGAATCTACTTTATTCAAGAAATTGATGAATTATGGGCATGTTAGTTGGGGAGGGACAGATTATAGCCAGAGGCTGTTGCCTCCACGGGGGGAGGAAGGGGTAAAATGTTGGAGGAACTGTCAAATAGTTTGCTGAATATGTGGAGGCAGGGTAGAGTTGACATGAGGATCAGCTGGGAAGCACAGTATGGAAGTGAATGAAAACCCAGAGCTATCTGGGGCAGTAAGTTTTGGATGGAGAATGGAGTATGTCTGAATCAAGGGCTTCTACGATATTTCTGAGATCCGGTGATGGGCATGGAACAGAAGAAACAACAGCAGGAGAGAAGATGATCTGAAGATCTGCTGACTAATGCAAAGAAGGGAGACCAGATATGGAGAAGGTCCAGAAGACAGGTGATAAATTGATGTTTTTGAAATTTCAGAGAGGTGGGAAGTAGCAGAGCATCAGCAGAGGCAACTAGCAACGGAAGCCAAATGCCGTGATAGAAGTTCATGAATTGTGGCATTGTGAGGGTTAATCCTGTGATGCAGCAGCAATGCAGAGCAGTGTGGGCTATGAAAAGCCATCCAGTTGTGAGCATCGATTTACCTTTCAAAAAACCTTAAGTGAACAGTTAAAAACCTCCAGCTCATGTAGTGAATGTACTGGCTGATGCATTTATTCATAAGTCATCTGCAGAGGCTTTGTAAGTAAATATAATCTGAAAGAATAGTCTCCAAGTTCCCCCCTGCCCCACCACTGAATGGTAAAAGCTTTCCTTAATTTCAATAATTGCAAGCAAGTTGTGTCTAATTCACTCCCTTGGCATGGCTTTTTTTTCAACCCCTTGAACTGTTCTACATCTGGAATGGCCGTGATCGAAGGCTTAGATCCAATTTCAGACTATCTAATGTAATTACATTCTGTAATCTGTTTCCCTCCTAACCCCACAGACCTGGAAGCTGCTGTTTTCCTCCTCTAGGAATACAAGACTTAATCAGCAGCACAGCATGGAGCCCGCTTGTCATTTCCTACGCATTAACATCCACTGTATAACGACTAATTGCTCCCATATGACAAACCCACTCCCTTCTCAACACAATGAACTTAGGACTGGTTTGGAGCTGAGAACTGGAAACCTCATTGCCCACGGGTTCCCTGAGGAGTCTTGTGAGGATCTCAGAGGGATATGTACCTTTAAGCATTTTTACGGCAACTGTTTTGCAGGTTGAAGATTTATCAATGCCAAAAGCAGACGCCTCCACCACCTTCCCAAAAGCACCATGACCCAGTGTTTTACCTAGAGAAGCAAGAGTCAAGAATGAGCCAAAGGGACTTACGACAGTCGGCATCAGATAAGAGGGAAACGTGCATTCTCAGCTGTGCAGGAAATACAAGATTCCAGTGCCCAGGCACGATGTAGACCGATAGTCAACAGAAGCCTGTATCACATATTTTCAGTATATGGATATAAGTGGTATGATTTATATCCATATGACTCTAATGCAATACAGTACGTGATAGGACAGAGTAGAATAAATATATCTGGATTCAGCTTAAGGGTAAAAACATTACTTATAGTTGTCCTGAAGTCCAGGAAAGTCAGAGTTTGGGTTAAACGTAGAATTGTGGAACCCTGATCTCTCATGAATCACACTCACGGAGTAGCCAGCAAAGGCACTCGGGCAGTCAGAACCCTCTAACACTTCAGTTATTGACATTTATTTGACATAAAAGCTATACTAAATGGAATTTACGATTATAATATTTCTTTATTTTCCCTTTCATTTGACTTTTCGTACCTAGTGTGCTCTGAGGGCTCTGGCCCACGATGCAGCAGAGTACACTAGGCATCATGGTCTGGCTTCTCGGTTCTGCTACTTTGACCCTATGTCCTACCATCATCTCATTTTTTGTTATTTTTGTCTGTCTTCCTCCTTCTTCCACGTTTTACAGCTAAAGCACCAAGAGCACACACAAATACAGACATATTCCCTGCACTTGGCATTGCACACAGATGTTACTCTTTCTCTATACAAACACAACCTGCTTTTTATATTTTCTTGCTCCATCACCCAGTGAGCTGAGCAGCTGAATGAAATTTGGCTCATTTTTTCATAATAGTTCTTTACAGCTCAAAGCTGGGTTTAAATGATTGATAAGGAATTCATTATTTGATGAATTGATTGAATTCTTAAAAATAAAATTCACTGAAAGACTGTCACCTTTCAGATCGACTTCGCTCTCCCTTTTCCTCTCCGAGTATGAAACCATACTTTGAAAACATACTTTTGGCAGGGACTGTACCTGGAGGTACCTTTCTTTCCTGTCAAGAGTTTGGCTTCACTTCTTCACAAAAGAAAAAGAAGCAGTAGCTATTTTGAGAGAGACAATATCTTTGCTTTTCTTACCAAATCCCTTGTTTCCCCCGCCCCGATTAAGCATGATCCTGAATTCCCTGACTCACTGCCGGTTCTGGCACTGAATGCTAGGCTGCTGCTTGGGTTCTGCAACACATCCCCTGAAACTGGGCAGCGTTAGAAATCATCATTCTTTACAGTAATAACACCTGAACCACTCACCCAGCCGCAGCCTGTCCCTTGGGAACTCCCATTTACTGCTGTCGTAGGGAAGACGGTCGCACTGCTCGTCAAGAGGCATTTCCTCTGGATCCATGATAATTGACAGGTATCCCGTTTTAATATCCGTGGCATCAGGCTAAAAACAGGGTGTGGAGAAATCATTCACAGTGTTTACCCTGCGGGTCTCATGGGAGAGAGTTGTCATCTACAAGACTGAGTGCTGGCTGGGGACTTCTCCCAGTTCCAGACTTAGCTCTGAAATTTATTCTCAACCGTGAACGCATCACTTCGGCTTCCTGCCTCTCTGTTTTTATATATATATATCATCTGGGAAATAAATGTTTATGTATGCCTGCCACTCCTGGGTGTTGGGGAGAGTCACTGATTAATGTTGGTAAACACTCTGAGGACACAAAATCTATCACTGTCTTCTACCTGTATCTATTAAAGTAAATCAGTGCTTTTCTGTGGGATCTCTAAAAGTTGCGTTTCCTGGTGCACTGTGGAGCATTTTGGCATTTTCATGCCATTTTGTTTTGCAGTCTTGATTCTCCATAGTCATCCACCTCATGGCTATCACTTATGACAATTTAAAATTGCTTGAAAGCTGGTGAAAAGTGCTACTTCTAATGCTGCTAAGTGAGAAATTGTGATTTGGTGGGTCCTGTGAGCAGACTTGTGCGAGTATAAAACGTAATAGGAAATTCACTGTGGTCCACAACTCTGTTAAATTGAGATCAAGGAGGAAAATATTAATTTAATCACTGTATTAGCAATAGAAAGGGGAATTTTACTTAAGTATTGAGGATTAACACGGGGACTGTAGTTTAGGGAGATACAGACCAGAGAGCTGTGGTTGCCTTTCTGTTTGCTGTTTGTTTTAGGAAAAACAGACCTAAATTCCTTGGAAGTTTACTGAAAGTTTACTTTTTTGAGTCACAAAAGGGAGGTGAAAGAATAGCAAGACTTGGAGACAAAATAAGCTGTGTGGTTTGAGTTCGTTTCTAGGATCCTTCTTAAAACAGGGCCCCCTTTAATATCTATGTTATGGAGAAATCTTATGGACAAGTGCTGAAATCAAGCCCTTGTTTTAGGAGATTTAGGACTTTTTTCGATTTCCTGAGCTTGAAAGCCAGTTTGACTCATAAAGAGGGAGGACCCTGATTTTACAGTACCATAGAAGTGGGTAGAAATCTCACAAGTGCAGGGAATCTCTTGAGAAGTCACAAGACTATCAGCAGAAATCTTGGACTGAAATTTTATAGGAACATTTTTCATGGTTTTTCTACCATCTGTCCTGAACATTTGGCCCTAAACTCCGATGCTACATTGGGCCTTTGTGCAGTGTGGAAGCTCTCTTACCTTTCTGAGTTTCCGAATGAATAGGGTCAGAAGCAGCCAGAAGAGGGTGGCAGCCAAACCAGTGCAGACCAAAATGATCACTTCAATGTTGGATTTCTCCTCAGAACCTGCAGTTTAAATACACAACCAAATTTGAAATGTAGCCAAAGTAAGGACTGAACAGGAGTTCTCCTCAGTCCAAAACAATGTATGTGTTTCCCCTTGCTTGGAGCTCACCTTGGATTTTAATGAAGGCTGATGTGCTGTCTTGGCCCATGTCGTTGGTTGCCTTGCATTCATAGAGCCCTTCATCATCCTTTTTCACTCGCTCAATGACCAGGGTGTTATTTTCCATGGAAATTCCTGTCGTAAGGGATGTTGGTTAATATTATCACAATAACCTACCTGCCTATAAAGGCTTTTAGGGGATAGAGAACCGAAATTCAGCTCCCATTGGTGCAGGCTTGGCACGCACTGTTCTTAGGAGGCATTTTAATACCATGCTGCTTGTTGTGGTCTGGCAACAACCTTTCCCTGAAACTTTTCTTTCTCCTCACTACCAGTGTAAATTGCTTGGGGATCATTTAACCAACAGAAAATATTAATTTATTATGAACAGACAGAGCCTGAGAAAAATTCTATGGAAGTTAGTGAAGGGAAGAGAGGTTTTCCGATGGCAATAAGATACACTGGAAAAAATGGAACTCAGTGACATTACTGGAGAAAGCTGATGTCTTGGCAGCTGTAGGAAGTGACGGGAGTCCTAACACGTGGAATATAGAAATCAGGTTATGCACACACCTGGAAAAATCACTGCATGGAACAATCCTGGAGTCACAGGCAGTGAGGAGCTAGAGGTAGAGTGGGAAGAGGGAGGTTGCCTAAATGTGACCTATGTGAGGCTCTTTTACATTAAATTTTCCTGATTAATTTTCCACATTTAATTTTTCTGGATGTGTAACATAAAACCGTTGCATTAAAGATATGTTTGGGGCAGAAATAGGGAAACAGGTCAGGCTCTGAATCCAAAAGGGAATGACATTTTGGATTTCCGGGTGTTCTGCCTATGAATCCTGTTGTTAACAAGAGAACTGCACGTAACTTGCCATGCACTGTGCTGAAGTATTTACTCTAAGGTGTTTTTTTCCAAATATTTTATTTATGTTTCCATTGGTTGGATGAGTTACATGCTTGTCCCTCTAGAATTATTTATAAAATTTCTGTAGCTATAAAGAGTTTCAGAACAGTCTGATCTGAATTATGGATGATCCTAGATTTCCTACCTAGTCCAAGAAGTAAAATTAAAGTCATAGGACCAGCTACTGCCATGAGATTCTCCAGGATTTATAGGAGATCCTGGGGCAGAGAGCTGAGAAAGAATTCCAGGCTCAGGAATGAGCTGACTGAGAGCACGTTCTCATTCTGTGTTGTGGGAGATAAAAAAGGTTGGGAGCTGAGGCACTGGCCCAGGTTGCCCAGAGAAGCTGTGGCTGCCCCATCCCTGGAGGGGTTCAAGGCCAGGTTGGAGGGGGCTTGGAGCAACCTGGTCTGGTGGGAGGTGTCCCTGCCCAGGGCAGGGGGGTGGAGCTGGATGATATTTAAGGCCCCTCCCAACCCAAACCATTCTGTGATTTTATGATTCTATGTGTAATGTCTCGTGGCATCCCCTGGGCCTGGCTGGGAGGTGGCTTCCCGCCATTTCCTGCAATACATTTTGCTCAGGCTCCAAGGATATCTAAGGGTTCAGGCTCGTGTTTCAGGCCCACCTGATGAGCAGGTACACTCTGTCTCTGCTTTGTACACAAACTGTTGTCTCGCACAAGCAGAGTGAACAGTGTACTCCTTGATGTACTAATGCTATGCTAATGCATGCAGACTGTCTGGCTGATGAACACTGCCACGTGTGGAAGGCGAGCTGCATAAGCCGGCAACCGGTTGGCAGCTTTGACCTCTAAATCCGAGTTGGAGACTACTGATATATTGGGGGTTTGTGGGTGTTTTCTGAGGTTGTGTGTACCACGGTGCAGTTGCTGTGGAGTTGTAGGTCCTGTGGTTGTGGTGAACCTGCAAATCCATTATCCTGTTACGTACAATGCCCGGTACCCTCAAGAAACAAGTGCATTCACCTGATGCTGCTGAAATGGGGTAGCCATTCTTCCTCCATGTGATCTGAGGTTCTGGCCTTCCACTGACTTTACACTCCAGGACGATCTTGCCGCTGATGTTCACCTCCAGATCTGTCAGGTTCTGTATCACATATGGCGCTACCTTGGCTGTGGTCACAGAAGAGAACAGGACACAGTGAGATTTCAGAAGGCACCTGCCTCAGCTTTGCCATCTGCTCTCCTTTGCCCACCTGCACGGCCTCTCTGGGCTGGAAGTGGCAAAGATTGGGTTGATGAGTGGGGGCAAAAAATCCCCCAAAAGATTGTGGGAAGAGAGAGTGAGTTTATTTGGCTCAGTTTTCAAACTGACTAAGCTTGGATTCAGCTTCAGCTTGAACCCCCCTGAGTTCCTCATCCTCTGGAGAAACCAGGCCAGTGAGTGGGTTGAGCAAATGGAGAGGGAATACAATAAAAGAAAGGAGAAGGCAAAGAGGAGACAGGATTTTGTGTTCTCCATCATGAGTGCAGTTATCTACTTACTACAAAGCACGTTAGCCTCCGCTTTGCATTCATTTGTAAAAGGTACAGGAAAGCAATGAATAAAATCACAGGCACAGCATAAAAAAATACATAAAACATGCAATAAGGACAGTTGCTGATGGGTGTTGGTACATTTAGAACACCCTGTTTGTGTAGGGGAGGGAGGGCTGGTTTGGAGGGGCATTTCCATGCGTGTTCTCCAGAATGGCCCCTCTGACACGTGCCAGACAAAAAACAGACCCCAGTAATTCTCAGAAGAATGTGATTAAGGTTCCAGTTCTCCATGGATGTATTCCCAGTTTAGCTGTTTTTCCCATAGCCATCATGTGTAGGTGTCTGTGTAGGTGGAAATTTGATTAAACGAATAAAAATATCTGCCAGGGAAGTGAAAAGCAAGTTGCCTGAATGCAAAGTGCAGAGAAAGCCCGGTGCCTCCGTGTCAGATGACGCTGGCAGGTGGCTCTGGTACTGGCTGTGGGGACAAGCCAAACCACCAGCACTCTCTAATACCGAGGTGAGATTCCTTCCCTTCCTCCACGCTCGAGGAAGAGGCAGGTGCTCATGCCATTCCTTAAAATAAATCACCTCCCACTCGGGTAGCAGAGCCGTGCCAGCCATAGCTGGGGCTGTGGGCTGCATTTTCTCCTTGTGTGTGTGGAAGGGGATGGGGGCTCCCAGAAAGGTCTTGGCTCATGAGGTAGGAGATTGTGTGGGAAATGTGCTCCTTCACTTAACCAGGCATGAAGCCAGCACTGTTTTTTACCAAAGTGACAAGTGCTTATGGCAGTACAGCTGTCCCTTCGGTGTCTCATTAGCCGTTAATGTAAGTGGAGAAGTCCATTTGAAAATCACTGTCTAATTTGGCTTCTGATGGACTCTGTCTTTTGCACCCTGGCTTGCTCCTGTGTATTTCAGTTCTACTCCATCTCCGTTCTTTGGGGGTTTCTTCACCATTGGAATATGGAATACTGCTTTTAAACTGAAAGAAGGGGGATTTAGATGAGATCTCAGGAAGAACTTGTTTGCTGTGAGGGTGGTGAGAGCCTGGCCCAGGTTGCCCAGAGAAGCTGTGGCTGCCCCATCCCTGGAGGGGTTCAAGGCCAGGATGGAGGTGAGAATAAGTAAGAAAATACTGTTATTACAACAATGTATATCCCACTTATGCAGAATAAATAGTACATGTCACTTGATTAAACCAGTGATATTTGTGATCACGTCTGCTGGGTCCAAATCTATTTAGGTATCTGCACCATCCTGGCAGCTGTAAGTGGGTCGAGTCTTCTACCAGAGTCATATAGATCTTGGGTGACAGCCCCAAGTGATAGAGTTGTGCTGTTCCTAACATGGTAGGTGATGCCTTTTCTCCTCGGTCAACACTATATCTGCACCTGGCATGGAGTTAGGAAGGTAAAACACAGCTGAAATCACCTTTATGTGTACAGCAAATATTTTATACAAACCCAGCAGTGGCTGGATGCAAAAAAAAAACCCTAACCCAAATGAGAGCATAAAGTCTATGTTAGGACAATCCCTAAGAACTGCTGGGCACCTGCTTTGAAAGGCTTCCAAGGGAGCAGCAGACGCCCAGTATTTCTGTTCCTGCAGAGGGACGGCAGCACGTCCCACTGCCCTTTGGGGACCTACCTCTGACGAGGAGCCGGGTGTGCTGCTCTAGCGTGTCGGTTGTGTTGTGCTGGTTCTGGGCTCTGCACTTGTAGAGGCCACTCTGTTCCTTCGTGACGTTAGTAATGACCAGTGTCAAAGAAATGGAGTAGTTGTCCATTTTCTTGATGAGCAAGTCACCGGGAGCAGGCTCTGAGGACGGGTAGTACCAGGCCAGGTGGCTGTAGATGTACTTAGAGGCCCGGCATGTCAGCCGGACATTGTTCCCCACAATGGTTGTGACTTGTGGGTCTGTTTGCAACCCAAACGGCACATCTAGGAGGAAGAGAAAATGTGTTTATAATTAAATCAGGACTGAAAATATCTTTGGCTGCCTGGTTGCAACTTGATGGTCAAATTTCAAAGACCAGCCATTATGGAATGAGTCAATTTTAATGAGACCTACATTTGCATGTGCAAACAGGCATTAGCACTTGTGAATTAGATAAGTAGAAAGTACCTCTCCCGTCCCGGCACTGACCTGTGGTAGTCTGGCCTTCAGTATTCTAATCATTCCATTTTCAAATAATGAATTGAAGGTTTATAAATAGAAGCAGTTAATGGACTAAGAGAGTTTAATCAAGAGAGATTTCCATCCAGGTAGACAAACGTGTTCACGAGCTCTTCTCTTTCTGTCTGCAATCAGTGCTTGAAAATATAATTGCATAAGAATAGAGAGACCTGTTCCCGTTTCTCAGAAGTAACACTCTCTTTCTTCACCGCTGAACAATCTTCCCAATTCTCGCTTATTTCAACTATGCCAATATTTATTTTCATCACATGTGCCTTGGTGGATATTTACTTGATCGCTGAATGGATTAACGGATTTAATGATGTATGAGGCCTTGAGGCCTTTATATTTAGCAGGGAAATACGTTGAGGCGTGAGTCCAATCTATCCACAAAAGAGTAAGCTGTTTCTTGCTATATTTTTAGTAACTTTTCACTCCAGAAAAAAAAAATAAATCAATTTTCCTGAAGTAGCAAACTAAATCCATTTTAAGACAAGAAAAAGTGTTTCTGAGTAGTCTGGCCCACAGACACTTTCCTGTTCCTGCATCAGCCGCCAGAGACCCGCAATTAAATCGCATCTGAAAGATACTATTTTCCCTTTTTATTCTGTTAGTTTCAATGATCTGTCCACCCAACAGACCACTGTGAAAGCACACTGATAACCACCTGGAATTATTCTTCTGTCTGTTAGGTCAGGATTTTACCAAGAAGCTGAGGGCTGTGAGGAACTCCTTAAAAATTTTACCAGGGGATTGGAGACTTTGGGAGGACTTGCTCTGGCTTGTCTTCTGAACATGAATGCTATTCGCTATAAGTCTGACAGATTATTGCTTCAGTACCAAGCTGTTTGTGAGATGCTTTTTCTCCAGGTAGGATGAAACAGATGGTGCTTTAAGAAGGACAGAAGTTAAAGGGGAGCAAGTATGTGTTGCATTTGGAACCTGACAAATTCCACATGGGAGCTGGAATTTGGCCAAGGATTCACACTGCAAACTCTTGCAAAAAGTTCTGCTGAAGCTATAGTTGAGCATAAATAGCGAGGCTGTTGGAATAACCAATCTGCCTTATAATAAACCATATATTATATAAAATACAGAGCCCTGAAGGAACTTTCAGATATGATTAAAAGTCTCTCTTCTTCACAAGTCATCTGGAATAGAACCAATAAACTTTGCTTCATGGTTTTTAAAGACTGGCACCAGAAATATTTTACAAAAGACCCAAAAAGAGAAGAGACCCCTCAGGCCACAGCTGTGGAAAATGTTATTTTTCTTTTCTTTCCCTTTCATGAAATTTCAGTTTACTTTATGCAGTGTTTTGTTAGGCTCAGTTGCTCTTTTTCTTGCTTAGTGCTAGCTGTATGCTCAAACTGACTTGTGTAATATGTCTGTTCTTCACATCTGATGTCCTGTGGTTCCAACATGTCAGGATGATGCTTATCAAAAAGGGGGAAAAGTCTCAGGCCAGCAGAAGTTCTCTAAACAGGAAGAATTAAGGTCCAGTGAAAACACCGGGATGTGGCATGAGCAAAACCTCTCCTGAATCTGACAAACTCACATAGGGAAAAAGCACCCTCTTTACTTGCCTTTTTCGTAGTTTTTCTTCTAAGCATTTGGTGTTTGCTCTGAGAAGAGTTACAGCTGGATGGATCTGTGGTTAGACTCAGTTCTTAGTAAGCTCAATGAGCTAGGAAACAGAATCATAGAATGGTTCAGGTTGGAAAGGACCTTAAAGATCACCAAGTTCCAACCCCCTGCCCTGGGCAGGGAGACCTCCCACCAGACCAGGTTGCTCAAATCTGATGGATCTCCCGAGATCCATCCCCTCCACCCTGAATTATCCTATGATCCTAAGTGCTGGCTCCCAGGGAAAGTAAAAAGGCATTCCAGGTGAAGTGATGAGGTAAGAATTTGGTTACATCACCTGGGGTAAAACACAGTGAACCCCTGATAACCCTTGGTGAAGCAGCCCCTTGCCTTTCCTTCTGCCTCCTGAGAAGCCTTTCTTTCGGGAGAATTTCTTCTTACACCTTGCAGCCCTGTTTGTTTTGCAGGGGGAGTTTCCCTCCCCATGGGAAAGAAGTACCACATCCCTTGGGAGAAGGCAGTGACTTGTGTATGGCTGTGACAGCATGGGCTGGAGCGCCCAGAGATCCCTGGAATTTTGGTGCAAATTCCCAATTAATTTGATGTGATAATTTCCTAGCCCTAACTTGTGAAGGATGCTCGATAGCTTTGCCTTGCTGCTGGACTTCCCCGGTGCAGGGTTTTTTCTACCAACTTAACATTCTGGGAGCAGAAGCCTGGGTTGTTTTTCTTATCATTTCTTCTACTGACATTTTTTATTTAGCATTTTGAATATTTTTAGCTGGAACCTGTGCTATTCTCTTCCATCTTGTTAGCCCTTCAAGAAGCTCTTTCAGCTCCAATAGAATATTCATTGATTTTCATTACAGTGGAAGGAAAAAGAGAGAGAGAGAAAAAAGCCTCTCTTGCTCTCCTCTCTCTTTTCTCCTCCCACCTGGATTATCAGGGGAGTAACTGCAGCTTTGAGGGCACATTAGAAGTCAGTTCATCTCTTAGACTACTTTGCTTACACAATCTTGAACCTGAGCAGTGATTAACTTCCTCTCTCTGAACAGATACAGTGTTTTATAAGACTCCTAATAAGTTGGCTAAAAGAATGCACCATGGGGCCTTTTCTCTTTTATCAGCAGTCACCAAACATTTGTCTTTTGTATTGTATTACAGTGTAGTAGCCGCGAATTTCACTCTCAACTGTGTGGGATTCCATGGCAAAATAGGGAAATGAGCCATTGGGGGAAGGTAAAAAGTCAGCATAAATCAAAAGAAAGTCTGGCTCCATTTGTATTTACAAGGAATTAATTGGTTTTAATTTCCTGTGCTTTGCACAATAATCTGTGTAATTTAAAACTTCTGCTCTTTCCCAAATTCCATCCCTGTGCCTGTCAGGGTGGGGGGGTTGCCATCAGGCGTATGCACGTAGGGAGAGTGAGAAAAAGAAAGGGTGAGCCCTACCATCTGAAATAGCGCAGAGCTTTTAATAAATCCTGTAAACATGTCAGGAATAAGCAAATTGAGAGTGGCAAGCGGTTGTAGAACAGCCCAGTGCATACATTGTTCCAGTATCTGATAGCAGATCTTTATCTCATGTTTGAAATACAATATTTTCTTTCTGGTAGAAATCTTTAACTCCATTTTTCTGAGTTGTTTTTGCACTCAGATAAGCCCTTGAAAAAGAACTTTTGTTATTATTTATTATTCTTATCATAATTAATTTTATTCCAAAAACATTCAGAGGTTTCATATGGGTGGGATGCTGTTCTGTTGTATGTAGTGCAATCATACAAAGGCTAGAATTTGATTTACTGTGGACTTACAGTAATATATAGTTGCCCTTTCCAAGGTGCAGACCAGAGATTAGAAGGCAAATAATACTTGTTTGTGGCAGAGAATAGCTCCAGGAGACGTCAGGTCAGCTTTTCACTGCACTAGGGAGGTTACAGTCTGCCCTGAGTGTCTCATGGTGGTGGGCAATGACACAAGGCCCTTCAGAGCATCGGGTGGCTCACCCATGTTGCCTCTGCCCATGGCAAACCAGTCATCTTACTGAAATGGGAACACTGGTGTCCAGACCGTGGTAGGCAAAGATAGTGAATGATAAGATTTCTCATCTCATTGGACCCCTTATATGGTTTGGTTCCAGCATGATCTCCAAACCCTGTTGACCCTTCACTGAAATAAATTCTGCTGGCAAAGAAACGATTTAAAAATAGATACCAGTGCTATTTCTAGTGTCCGTGGGAGTTTTTGTGGGGGCTCTGCAGTGGAAGAACAAAATGGCTGTTGACCCATCTCTCCTAAAAGCATTATGTAGGTCTTGATCTCACTACTAAAGAATTTCTGTATTGAAAGGTTAAGCAGATATTTGTTTGGATTTGTGTTCTTTGGAGAAATAGCATGTCCACCTCCTCCCTCCTTAAAGGGCACTGGAAAGGCTAATTGCTCAGGCAGGGATCCAATGTCACAACAACTCCCAGTGATATCAGCCCTGGATTAGGTCTGAATATTGGCCTTGCTCACCTTTGCTGTGTCTACTGACTTAACTGGGGACCGACCCTTCTCCTGAGTTGGGGAGAGGCTTCGGGCCTTTGGAAGACTACAAAGAACTCAGCTTTTGCTGGAGGTTTCGTGAGGACAGGGCTCAAATGTCATGAGTGTTGCTTTAAGAGACAGGCGGCTCAACTTGGGGCCTGAATGTGCAGCTTGAAAAGGGCAAAAGGGGCATCAAGTTTGATGCTGGACACATCAAACTCAGCTGTGCACTGATGCAGGACCCAGCCTTGTATGTATGTGATGAAGAGCCTGGGACTGTGTGACTGGGAGTGCTCTGAAAACACAACATGCAGGGAATTCCCAGAAGTTTTAACGAGCCCTCACCAGCCGTATAAAACTTCAAGGTAAATCAGATTGTCAGCATCAAGTTTTTGTGGAGCATCTCTTGTGTTGTTTTACCTGAGACGTAGAACTCAATGCTCCTCTCTTCTTCGCCAATCTTGTTTGAAGCCACACAGTAATAGATTCCTGAGGCACTGCTGTTTTCTGTAGTCAGTGTGCTCACAATCTGCCAGGAAAAGAGAGAAAAAGTAAAGGCTTTGAGTGTAGTGTAGGCTTAGCAGGGAGGCCTGAGAGTACTGGGTAAGTGTATGTTTTGTGGTAGAAAAACAGTTAACGAAGGAGTTTCTAGTCAGGAGTGAAGCTCACAAACAGACAAGTGTTTCTATTAGGTTTTTGGTCTCTCATCTCGCATCACCTCCACCCAGTTAATTCTCTTCCCTCCTCATTCCTAAACCTTCCCCTTCTTCTTTCCTGTCTCCCCTGTGAAAGGAGGGCTCCCCTTTGCAAAGGTCTTTGTGTGACAACATCAGCAAAAAGCTAAAGTGAAGGACCTGGAAGATTTATCTACGACACTGGAAATGAAGGCACACATCCACCTATTGTCTTTCCTGCCTTTCAGTTACGGTTTCTGTGGGTAAGAGAACACCCACATTTGCATGGGAAGCATGTCATCCCTATGGATGTGGTGGAAAGAATATTGCAGGATTTTGCTTTGCTTTGCTATAACCCCAGAGAAGGGAGAGATGTGGCCCCTCTGGGCCTCAGCTCACTTATAAATTGTTCTTGGAAGCCCTTTGATTCCATAAACCTTCCCCAGAGCCTTTCTAGGACTTGTGCAGTAAGTAAGGAAGCTCTGGAGAAGCTGCCTGTTCTAAGACACTTGGCAATTGCAGAAAGAAGGGAAGGACCATGAAGGAGAAGGAAGAAACACTTGTCCTGAGATTCCCCATGTAGATAAAGGAAGTGGTTTGGTTATTCATGGGGCTGAGCTCAAACACATCATTAAAAACTTGTGTTCCTTAAACATCCCAAGCCCCTGCTTCTGGATAGGGCCTTCTTAACGAGGAGGCAGTCATATGGCACTCCCCTCTCCCTGTCATGATGTAGCATCAGAAGCTCATGGGAGGACTATCCACAGATCATGGCTTTAATTATTTCTAGTGCTTCCTTTGGGCTGCCAGCAAGAAAGCAGGGTCTAACCCACCAAGACAGAGATGTTCTTGTGAGATTACTTTGCTTCCCCTCCAGCCATTCACCTGAGGAACTCTGAGCCCTCACATTTGGAACAAATATCACTTTTTTGCTGTCCTCTCTAAGGACTTTGAGAATCAAAACTTATAACACCCTCTGGCCCTTTGTCCTTATCTCCAGAGAGCGCTTTGAAGTGCCCAAAAGCATCTCTGGACTTTCTTTTTAATATCCTAAACTAAACTCACACAAGACATTCCTTTACTGCTCATAAAGCTGTACCACGAATGTGTCTATAGCTGTGCGGGATGTATTTTCAGAGAGTTATTTAAGATTTTCTGAGCTTTGGCACTTTAAATCCTGTAGGGAAATGAGTTTCGAAGGTTTTGATCTCATGCACATTTTACATTCTAATGGGGAACATTTTCAGCAGAATACCGGGTAAGTGGAAAAGTATCTACTTTTCATGGGCACCAGACATAGAAATTAGCCAAGAATAGGGACAAAGCAAATTTAGGGGTGAAAATGGGAGGCCAGCAAACCCAGCTCCCTCTGGTGTCCACCAAAGAAAGAGCTGTGCTGTTCTGATTTATTTATGATGTGAAAATAGCTCTAACTTGGATATAAAGTCCCCCAGAGGAGCAGCCTGCTCCTCCTCCTCTCTCTGTTCCTGTACAGTGGGCCTAATGCCACAGGTTATTAACAAGCACATGTTCAGAGCACTACCCTTGACTTTAAGCAGTAGACACTGCTTTTTTGATTTACTGCTGAATCAGGACCAAGATCTTTCTTCTCATGATTACTGGATCTTAGAATTTTATATTAGGGAATAGAAAAAGCCAATATAAATGTACGTGCTGAGGACAGAAGGGGATAAATTTGGACAGCTATTTACTGGCTATTAGTCTTGCTAAGTGACAGCTCTAGATGGGAAGTTGAGGGTAATACTGTAGAGCCAGTTAAAATCGTAAAGGGGAATGTAATTATCCACTTTGGAATATGTCCAAAGTGTTCGGGGTGACACTGTGACTCTTCTAAAAACTGATGAAACGATTGAAGCTGCGTTTGGTGGCCCAGAGGTAAATGCAGACACACGCTCATGGACACACGCAGACGCTAACGACTCCCACTGCGGAACTTAAGAAAAGTCTGTCAGGGTAGCAAATAGGTACACCGAGACCTCGTCTTAGCTAATCTCAATTGTGTCTGGATGTGAAGGTTAAAATGATGGTGGGAAACAATGTGGGGACAAATTCCAGGCAAAAATTCACTGAGGAAAAGAAAGAAGGTAATTTTCTTGTTTGTATGCTCAAAATCACTGTTATGCACCTGGATACCAGTTTGCTACACACCTGAGCACAAGAGAGAATGCACTTTACTGTCTTGTCTTAGAGCCACCACCTCCCAGAGTCCTCCAAAATGTGACTTTTAAACCACCAGCAGCCAGCAGGGAAATATATGTGATTTCAGAGCCGGATATGAAGGATTTTGAGTGATTTTCTTGTAATAAGATGAATCCCTTGAAATCATTACGCAACAGCTTTTCACTCTACCTGTGTGCTTATGGGTAAATCCCTGAGATTGGGACTCCAATTATCTTTCCAGCATCTTAAATAAAGTTCTCAGTTGCCAAACTAACCTAATCCTGTTTTAGTCCTCAACATAGAGATGCTTTGGAACATTAAGATGCTATATCAAAGGGCATCCAAATCCTCCTTCCCTCTATAAGATCACATAGTTTTATCTCTTATCAAAAGGAACCTGAAAGAAACATTTAGGAAGCCAGTAGTATCTGCTTTTTGAAGTATCTGTAGATCAAGGGTATCCCATTGAAAATCAGACTAAATGACACGTTAATCCTTGCCAGTGTCCTCCAGCCACAAGCAATAGCACAAACTGAGTGGCTGTTCAGTCCTTAGCTTCTGTGCAGACTGCGCTGGAACCAATGGTAATTAATAACAAATTATTGGCATGAAATGTCTAGACATCTTCCTAGTGGGAGCTGGCCTGGGATCCCGTGAGTTCCCTGCATACCAAACACCAAACATCCTTCGGACCAATTTTCATGGCATGTGTTGAATTTGGAAGTAAGGGGCTCCATTTCCTATTACTTAACCTAAAGGCCACCCAATACTGTGAGCCCAAGGAAGGGATTATTAGCTAATAAATAATTACTATAAAAGAATAAGCTGAGTTTAAAACTCAATAAGAAAAGAAATAAAATGACTGATCTCTGAAGAATAGCTATGACAAGTAAATAGACATTGCTGCTGGGAAAACCCATAATGGAATAGTTCAATAAAGTCCATATGTCTTGCACTGTAATGTTCCTGAACTGATAAAAACAAGCTATTTTAGAAGCAGCCAAATAACATTCCACAGCCATATACCGTGAGTGTTTTAAGACATCTTGTAGTAAGGACAGAGCAGCAAGACCTTTTTTTTAAGCCGGAGCCAGCATGAATTAATATTCCTTGCTTTCTCTTTCCTTTGTCTAATCCCTCCCTCCAACAGCTTTAGTTAACAATTCTTCTCTCTTTCACTTCGTTAGCTGTATGTGGGCGAGGATGAGGAGTAGAAAAAGTGGGTGGAAAACTTCTCAGCTGTCTAACTCTGGCAGAGCAAGGGTGGAGGTGGCTAGAGAGAGATGAAATTATAGGAACTTCACCAGAGACCCCACAAAGAAAATATTCAGCTAACTCCTAATCCATCTACTTGAATGGCACAGAATAACACTTATTTTTATAGCCTGACAATTCTGATCCATAATCTTAGTTCATTCATTCAAAACACACTGAAGGATGGACTGAGGACAAGTGATAAGAGAAGCCTGTGAATTGACTGAGAACTTCCAGGGTTTGCTCTCATCTCTGGCAGTGGCCCTTTCTCTCCCTGTGGAATGAGAACAATCATTGCCTTCCTCATGGAGTGTGGCAGAGCTGATGGTGGTACCATGTGGTCAGGAAAGGTGCTGGGCAGGGCAGAAAAATGGGGAGAACTGGAGGTTTGAGGTGCCTCTGGAAGAACTGGTACATGTTTCTAGTATGGATGGACTGATCACTCTGGCCCTCGGCGGGCGGGTAGGTGCTCACATACTTTTCACCAGACGCATCCCACTATTCCCATGTAGTCTTTTTGTTCCTGCAGGACATTTAAATCTGGTATTTTTGGGTCAATTTTCCTGACTGGTTATGAATTTTGCCAGGAAAAGAGAGTTTCATTGCAGAAACACCCACGTGGCCAAGCCACTCTCTCAGATATACATGAAAGGCAGAAAAGAGATGAAAAGAAACCCCCATCGAGGACTGAATTATGGACATTGCTATTCTTTTCTGCTCTGTCCTATTCTCCCAAGCTCAGACCAGTATGTTCAGTTTACTAACGGGAAAGAAGATAAAATAGTGACCTGAAGAGGAAATTCAGGCAATTCATGCATCGTGGGTGTTTCACCCGGTGCAAAAAAGCAGTCTCCAGAGGTAGCTACACAAGAGTTTGAATCACAAAGTGGAAAGTTCAATATTGACTCCAAACCACCAGGAAAATTAAACTAACACGATGCATGACCACTATTTGACCAAACCTTCAGTGAAGTACATCATAACATTAATGATAACCACATGCTTTTCTTTAGGAACGAGACTCAGCCTTTAGAGGACAGGAGGGGGCGAAATTCACTTCTATCTCTGTGGAATGATTGTGGAATAATCATTATGACCAGGGAGATATGAGACCTCAGTTTTACATGCCACTTTTGTCAAATAGATGTCTAAATATCAGTGGTCTGCTGGAAAGACCTAAGCTAGCCTTTAAGCAAGATTCTGGATCTGGTAATTTCTTGGGATTTGTTCCCATATTCTTAGCAGCTCTAAAAAGTTAATGCATTTTTTCATCTATCGCTGAGCCAGCAGGTATTGCTACAGTTCATCGAGGGCGAACTCCAGGGATGCTGAGAAATCTTAGAGACTGGGTCAATTCCACCTTCTACTCTGAGATTCCAGCAATCATTGGACAGGCTCAAATCACACAGGAAAAATAGCCAATCTCAGCTAATCCCAACTTCATAACACAGTCAATAAAAGCCCCGCTCAGTCAGACCCCAACATCTTTATTATTTCATCTGGCTCGTCAATGCGGATGAATTACTTGCTAGGACATGGTGGGAATGGATTGGGCTGTTTCCTGTCTATTCCATTTCTGGTGGGAATAACGACTGATAAAACACAAGGAAAAGTCTGAAGGCTATGAGTTTTCATCAGTGTCTTTTTTGGAATTATACTCTATTATCTTAAGACTCCACACAGATAGCCTTGGACTTCAGAAAGGGGGAAGGAGAGGAATGGTCTGCTAATGTAAGCAGGGAGACAAAGTGCTGAAACCTGAGATTCGCAAAATCTAGTTTTATTAATTTGAATAAATCTTAACGAGGACATAAAAATCATTAGGAAACACCTCAGAATGTGTTTCCAACCAGCGGAACAGTGGGAGATGAAAATAATGAATATACTATAAATTGTAAAATTATGTAACTTGTAAAGAAGTATTTTTATGAAACTTTAATAATGAAATCTGTAAAAGCTTAAGTTAAAGGGTTGTAGGCTGAGCATTTGAACATGTGTAAAAAATGAACACTTCAGGATGCCCAGAGTCTACAGCCAAATCCCATCTCAAGTCCACCAGCAGACTAAAATTTCCCCCAGTTGCATGTTTGCTGCAGCAAAGCTGGTAAAAGAAGTAATGAGAGTGGTTTACATGTGCATAAACCAAAGAAAAACGTTTCTAATTTTGTGTTGTTGAGGTGTCTCACTTTCCCATGTGGGACAATTCAGCAACCAACAGATATTTTTTGCGTCACAACAATTGCAAAACTCTTCACTTTTATATGGGGACTAACGTAACTTTTCAGACTGATCATCAGATGTAAACTAAGCTCTTGGACACCAGATCATATATTTAGACAGACTGTATATATGGAGAGCAACAGTAGCCATGAGAGCCACAAAACTCTTGTCAGTCCATGCAGCAACCAGAAACTCTTAGAAAAGGAAATAACTTTGTAGGTACATGTCATTGACCTCCATCTTTTACAAGTAATTAGCACTTTGTAGGTAGTTGCTTTTACTTAAGATCTAAAATTCAGAGAGAATATATTAAAAACAGAGCTTAAGGGGCACTATGCCATCTAAATAAATCCAGTTTATAAATATCCTCCAGCAAGGGGAAAACTCAGGAATGAAAGGTGAACATTGATTTTCTCCCTCTCAGCCCAACCTTCATGTTTTCAGAGCTCTGGTTTAGATTACGTTTAGAGCTGGAAAGGCTCCATGAGAAAGAGCAGATGGCTCAGGCACTGATCCTGCCAGATGCTGATTTAGTCTGGACCCAATCCAGAAGAGCACTTTAGCTTTGTGCTTAACTTTAAGCATGGGAGTAGCCCAAGAATTATCATATGCTTAAATGTATACCAGGATACGAACTGCAGCATTCAGCACCTTTCAGGATTAGGCACTCAACTATCTGGAGCATCCACCTCTAAACCTGTAGCTGCAAACCTGCTCCTAAAGCCACAAACCTCTGTAAGTCCAACAGGGCTAAAACAACTGTCTGAGCCAGACCACAGCATGGCCAGGAGGCTGTGAGTCTGTAGCAGAACAGCAATTCCTCAAGGATTAGCTCGGACGTGTAGATGGTATCACTCAGCATCACCACAGGTACCCGGGAGACGTTTAACAGAGCTGGGATGTTTGCAGGTCACACAGGAAGCGTGTTCCTGGTGCTGTTTGGAAGGGGAAGCAGGGGGGAAGTGTAGAAGGAAGGACATCTTCCCACCTTCACTGGTGGGAAGATCATGTTACACATGTTTCACATGTTACAACCATGTTTGGTAACATGGTTGGCAACCCAAATGGGTAAGGAAATGTTGAGAACTCCAGCTGAAACCAGCATGTACTCTGAAAATCAGGCCAGCTCTCTCTTGCCACCATAAGCTTCTTAAAGTTCACAGCTGTGTAACTCCTACGGGGAGAGTAGGCAAGATTGGGCAGGACAAAGTGCTCTCTAAGTGCTAAACATTTCAATAAATTTGGAGTTCTTATCAGTTGTAGGCGCTTCACAGGACCCCTCTTGCACTGAACTGGCCTTACACTTTCTCAGGACTGAGGGATACAGAGAGGTTTTTGACCCAAAAGTCTTTGGAGAGTTTTAAACAGGGTATGTGACATCATTGCCAGAAGCCCGGTATTTATAAACAGCGGAGATCAGAAAATGATCCCAGGGCTGTGGAATTTAAAGCATGTTAACAACTCGCGGCAGCTTGGGAACCACACAGCATCCCCTCCATAAAGCCCACGGCTATTCCATGACATCATTGCTCAGACTTTCATCAGACACATACCTTTCTTTTATCCCCATGCTTCAGGGTTATGTTCTCAATGCTTCTGATCTTGTTGCCTATGAACATGTTCTCCTGAACCACAATTTTTGGCCCATCGGGGTTGCATCTGAAGGCAGAAAAGCAAAGGTGGTGTTCAAGAACCTGACTCACCGCCCGTACCCCAGGGAGGAATTATTTAAGAGAGAGAATGTCATTCTTAGACAATAGTCTTAGGTCTTAAAAAGCTCCTAAAAGCTATTGCTGCTGGAATTTGTTACCTCTTTGCGAAACTACTGTATTCCTTCATCACAACATTGCAAAATTATTTATGAAGCACCTTGACAGAGGTGGAGGAAGATCAGTATTTGACCAGCAAGGAAACCCCCCAGATTTTCTAAAGATTGAAAATAGAAAATACCGGACAACTAATTAAATGGTGTGAGTTTAATCTGACTAACAGGAGTTATACTCCAACTCAATGCAGTTGTGGCTTTTCTAAGCGCTCTTTTAGCACTTGTGGTGCATTTCAAAATTCAAAACGCCGGTCATTCAGTACTGTGGGGAAGTGAATGTTGCTGAGCGTGTCCATCTACCTGCTCAGCTTTCCAACAGAGGGAGCAGAATGGATAAATTCTGGGCTAACTGTAGCAGAAGGCTCCTTTAATATTGCATGTTCCCCAGAAAATAGCCATATCTCTGTCAGTTAGCAGTTCTCAGTTTTGAATTATGGACAAGGAGCAGTCTGTGTAGCACATCATGCGGAAAGGTGTATCTGCATCATCTGAGGCAAAAGGCTTTTCTGTCTTCTTCAACTACAGTCCTTGGAAGAAATGAGCAGAGACACAGCCCTTCTCATGCTTAGGAGAGCGAAGGCTCCAGCCAGGCTGGAGCTCCCAGCCTCCTGGCTGAGGGTGCTGCCAGCTCTGGGACTTGAGGAAGCCTTTCATTGTAAAGCTGCTGGTTCAGTTCCAGTCCAGCACAGCCAGGTGGGACAAACTGCCTGCGTGACAGCAGGCTGGTGGAGGTGGGTCAGTTCCACAACTAGCTGCAATCACATCTTGCACAGGTCATCACAAAGCATGGCAAGAACGGGTCCTTCTTGCCTCCTCTGCCTCACCATGGGCACCGCACAGCCCACCGTAGCACATCAGGACTATAGGAGCTAAAATGAATATGGACTTCTATAGGTGACGACCAAGGGGCTGATGCTGCAGAAAATGAATCCATAAATCAGCCGTGCCTTTGCCAAATCCACCCAGGGCACATGGGTAACACCCTGGGTCAAGGGAGGGTTTATAGCTCTCAAAAGAGCCTAATTAGAAGATGTCTTGAGTGACTTCCTGCAAGGCACAATTCTGTCTTGAGGATGAAGGGCAAAAACTCAAAGGAAGCAAATCACATCACAGCTCTAAGAAACAATGATAGTGTTTTGGGATTCAAAGTGCACTGGTGAGGGGGGAGAGAAAGAGAGAGAGAGAGGAAGTGAGACAACAGACGGAAATGGGGTCTGTGTCATTTCCCACAGGAATCCTCCTACAGCTTCTGCTGGAAAAAGATAAGGCTGCCCCGGAGGCCAGAAGAGGTAGACGCCATTCTGCAATTGTATTTAAATTGATAAGATCAGAGAGTCAGAGAGCTTGAACAAGGGTTACACGAGGTCTTTTGCCATCAGGTCACTGGTTTGAATCTGGCTTAATTCGGCATTCAAGACCAATTCTCTCTCCCTAGACAGAAAGGTCTGGAAAAGATTTCAGGTCATATCTTTGGCTTTCCTACGGAATTCATGGCCTCTTTCCTTATGGTGTTTCCATTCTGCTCTTGTTGAACACCTCCAAAGCCGCAGCTTGTGTGCCTTCTGCTGAGCTGCCATGCCAACAGCCCTACCTGAGCCTACAAATCTCTGCCATTTTATTCCTAAATGAGGTAACCGGCTACGTCCCTCATGGAGGGACACAAGGGTACTTTTTAGATCCAACCTGACACTGGATCACCCAACATCACTGTGGCTGCTGCAGCAGAGAACCTGGGAAAGGAGCTGCTCTTTGTGATTTTCCCGTCTCATGGTTTGCCATTCACAGCATTTGGAAAAGCATTGAAACGGAGAGAAAATAAGGAACCACCCAGCAATTTACTCTCTTGCTTCCTAGAGCTGCCTTCATTTTTTTAGGGATGGAAAACCTGACTTCAGCCCTCTCATTGCAGGGAATAGTTGAAGTGCAGTCAGAAATGTTATCCGTGGCCCCTGTATATCCCCTGGGGCTACCAAGGGGAGCATTCAGACCTCAGCTTCATATAACAGCAGGAGCAAAGAAATTGTCTACTTGTACAAGGTGAATCTCAAAAGACACCTTGTGTTGTAACTTCCCTCATTCCTCTCTGACAGTTTTGACCCAGTGTCTTGCTTCTGAGTCTTCACACCCCAGGCTGCCTCCAGACTTCAGCAAAGAAGGGTCCTCAGAAAGGTGTGAAGGGTCGGCTGCCTCTTCCAGCTTTGGCAATGAAGATGCTGCCACAGGAGGCCAAGCTCAGTGGGCAGGAGTGAAGACAGCCCTTGGACAGTGGCATAAATTCCACATGGCAACTAAACGAAGCCAAGCCTTTAGCAGGTTTGTCTGACACTAACTCTTACAGGAGAAAAATGTGTTACCTCTACACCTATCTGGTTTTCCTTTGTCAACTACGTAAGCTGCATCCAAAAGGGGAAAGTGAAGATCTTGGTAAGTCAGAGGGACATTGCTGGTCAAGTTAAAGAAAATTCAAGCCTGATCTTTAGTCACTTCAAACTTATTTGACACAATTCTGATAATACAGAATGTGGTTGTAACTCCAAAAAGATCAAACACAACTGCTGGGTTCACAGCCCTTGAGACCTTTAGGTGGGAAATCACTGCTTGTGATTTTTAATTCAGATAAATAAGATGTACTGAAAGAAAAACTGACTTGAGACTATTAAACTATTTTGCAACACGCTCCTCCATAGGAATATCCACTTACAGCGTGTCTGTGAGGCTGCAGGGCTGCCACTTCCACTCGATCTTGGGGTCAGGATTCCCGCTTACGGTGCACTGGATTCTGTGTTTGCTTCTTAACTCCACCCGCTCAATCTTATCAAAATCAGTTTCCTTTTCATAGATTTTGGGTCTCTCTAAAGGGAGAAAGAAACAAAACAACAAAAAAAAAGCAAATGAGCAAATTTACATGCATCGTCATGGTGCTGTTTCCGTCAAAGGTTTTGAACCTTTTTGCCAAGATCACTAAGAGGTGATTTTGTGAGGCTACTGGAGTTGTAGGGAAATTACCAGCTGTACTGAAAGTATAGATTCGCAGAAATGGGTATTAGTTGTGGTGTTTCAGAAAATACATCAAAGTGCAACCACATTCATCCTAATTGTTTGCAAATGTTGTCGTGGACCTGCTCTACTTCTGGAAAATTTGTGCCATGGAACATCTATTGGTCGGGGACTGCAGGATCAGGCGGTAGGTCTGTGCCTGTGGGTGGGCATTCTTCTTGATGTCACCTCCTGAGAGGAACCTTATCGAACAGCTGCTGCTCGGCAAGATTGTTACCATTGTGCAGGTTCTCCCCAGGGTTTTGGGAAAAAAAAAAAAAGTCTTTTTGATCTCAAAACTTTGCTTTCCTTTTCTCTTTATGTGGAACGTGCATTGGATGAAGGGGCGAAGAAAGCAAGGAAGGAGTGGTGGGGAGAAAACACTTGTAGAGCGATGCCAAGAAATTCTCACCAACAGCAAAGCCATTAAAAATGTCACTGCATTATTCACATCTGGAGGGGTTGCAAGATCACACCCTTGGACTGGAAATCTCTCAAGAACAAACCTTCGTGTGACACTTTCAGGGCTGCTTGTTGCCAGCAGGAAAGAAATGCTTTGTCCCATCTACTTCCAGCTCCCACGGGAACACGCGAAAATGAGAAATAACGCTAAAAAATCCGCAAAGTGAACTGAACTTTTCCTAACCTCAGAGAGGGTGGGTTTGAGTTTGGGGTGAAAGCACAGGCTCTTCCCTTAAGCAGACAGCTTTGCCCATCCCTGGCCATATCTCTTTGTCCGCTTCTCATAACAGGAAATCAAACAGATTTATTGGTCGGGGTCCCTCCGTGGAACACCTCTGTGCAGCCAAGTGTGGCTGCTTTACGCTGAGGGCTTTTGACAAGTTGGGAAGTGAATGTAGATTAGATTTCTATTTTTTGGGTTAACTTATTTTTTCTGCTGTCAAGAAGGCCCCAGATATGTAAATATGAGCTACTGCCCACCTCATCAATCTTGAGCCCTTTCCCTCTTTTTTTTTAATAGCTTTTTTTTCCCTTCCAGCCCTCTAGTCTTATGAGTGGAGTGACCAGGCTGGTCCTGTGGCTTGGTGGGAACCTCACTTTTCATTTCTTATGGCTGCCAGGTCAGACTCTGAAAGGTCTTCTGACCTCACCATTGCCTAAAAATGCATCAGCATTTCCTTATCCCCCACATGAGAGGAGCATTGACTGTTGTTGGTTCATCCATATCCTAACTCCCATGTGACAGAAAAACATCATCTGCTTCATTAGGCCTTCAGAAGGTCCCTCAGAACCTTCATTAGGTCTTGATTAACATTTCACTTGAAGAACACAAATGACAGGCCTGGTTTGGTTTTGCTCATGTGTTCCCTTTTGCTTTTTTGATCCCCTTTGGTTGAGTCTTGTTTCCCCGTCTGCCTGCAGACGATGTTCTATCAGGCTCCAAAAATCCACCCCTTGCTCCTTTGTCCCTTTGGACAGGGAGAGGAATCTTTGTGAAGGAGAAGATGAGGAAAGGGGCAGATGGGGGAATAGTTCAGACTGTGGTCAGGGTCTCTGGAACTCACATCCTTGTCTCGAACATGGACACAGGGTTTCCCGCACCCCGTCGCTCTGGGTTATGGCTGATCAAGTGCTTTGAGATTTGTGAGCAATTCACAGGACAAATTATTGGGATGAATGTTGAATTTCCTTCTAACTGGCATCTCATTTCCCATCAGTAAATTATTTCTGATCATAAAAAGAATTTTGTAAAAACTCCCCGGAGAGAGAAGCACATTTTTCATTATCTCGGACATTTTTCTTTTCAGTCTCAAATCCTGTGTTGGGCATTTCTGGACTGACCTCAAAAGTGTGATTTTCACTTGGAGAAAGAGACTCTAAGTTCAGTGTGAAAGGTTACTCAAGTGTTATGCGAAAGGTTATTCAAGTGCTGTGTTTTCTTGGCTCTAAGAACAAAGCTTTACCCACTTGGGGAGGGAGACAGTATGTTTGTGTGGTTTTATGTGTGTGAAAAAGTAGGGGGGGACAAAGTTTGCTTACGATCTATTAGATTAGGAGAGATTTTTCTCTACTTCTGGTGAAATGATGAACACGTTGACTGTCATTTAAATTATTCTTCTAAAAAAGAAATAATAATTTTAACTTGATCTAATTCAAGTGAGAACACACATGAGTGACGAATGAATCCTTAATTCCACAATTACTTTACTGCATGGCACTATTAAATATTACTTGAAACCTAAAATGAGTCAAACTGATTCATCAATTGAAATAACTATTATTTATGAGGCTTAAGCAATTATTTTCTTAAAACTTGAGAGGCTGGCTAAAAACGCCTCCCCATCATTTCTTTCACAGCACCTTACAACACAGTTAATGTGGGGTCGTAGCTAATTATGGGCATGACACTCAGAAATTGAAGCAATTTTAATAAGCGTCTCTCTCTTTTTCGTTGTGAAGGTTGGAATGGCGGTGGGTGTCATTCTGCTAACGTGGTGCTACCACAGAGGGGACAAGGCCCTGCCACAATTTGGAACCCATAAGGGTGCTGGCATTGGCCCATGGCACCCCAGGTTTGGGATGGAAATGTGAGGTTCTCATATGGGGCATATTTTGGGGGCTGAAAACCGTCCAAACTGCTGCACACTCTCCTGACCATTTTTCCTCTTACTGCCCACCTCTGAAGGCGACTGAAGCTTTTCCATTCACTTTGCTGGCTGCTGGCCCAAAGCCCATTTACAGAAGTTGTCTCCATCAGTAATGGGAACAAGTTAACTGGTTTCTGTGCTGGCTACTGGCCTTTTAGCTTTGCTCAGGCTATAGAGAGCTGGCTCAGTGGGCTGGCACCTGCAGGTTCCCCACATCAGTGTGACGGGGAGTTTTTAGCCGAAAGGCAGTGATTATCTAAGGTCCGCCCAGCAGTGTGTTTCTCAGATAACTCTCTCCCTCCTGCAAACAGCTCTTTGCTTTCTCTTTCATGTTTGCTTACTAAGCAGCGTGATGGATTAGGCACAAACTCCTGTTTATCTTCTCTCGCTGGTGTTTAGGTGTGGGGTAGGGCTTGGGGTACGAGTCCATTGGTGAGCACTGCCAAAACCCAAGGATGTTTCTGCTTGCGCCTTAAATGATGCACCTAAAGTGTGGGTTTCGTCAACGCACGTGCATTTGCATGTGCATTGCTGATTTTCAAGCATGCAAAAAATGGACTGCGCTGCAAGAGATCTTTAAATACACCTCATTCCTGACCTGATGTGGCCTTCCCTACCCCTTCTCTCTTGTCCCCCCAGCGCCGAGATCTGCCTCCTGACTTCCAGCCTCCACCACCTCCCATCCCCGGGCCATTGCCCTCCCCAGGCTGAGTTTTCTCAAGCAGAAGCCAAACAAACCTTAAAAGCTTTCTCCTCTCTGGCTGCATTTGGAACACGCAGCGTTCAGATGGCTTTAAATGTATCGAAATAAATGGGTTTTCGTCCTCTCTGTTTTAAAGTGTGATTGTATCCCCAACTGGCTTTGCAGAGGTGCAATTGCTGGTGTGAGAGCTGACCTGAATAACTAAAGAGTTTGCTGCTGCTGCACTGTGAAATGCAATCAAATAGCAGTTCTGCTTACTGTCATTTTCAAATTGATCAGCATTATGTAAATCTCACCTCACTTCTTACTGTTATCTTTAGTTTGTGGCATTAGGTGCAAATAATAGGTACAAGGATTAGGACATTGACCCTCTGGCACTAGCCCTTTAGCAAGAGGCTCTTTTCTCTCTCTAAATTCCTTGCAGATGTTATTATTGGGTTCCACACTTGTCACCCAAAGGAGCATCCAAATATAGAGGACAGCACACAGCAAGTTTCCCTGCCTTTTTTAGAGAAACTTTGCTTTACTTTCAGTGACCTCTGCCTGAACTGCTGTTTACTTACCTTCCCCACTACCATTTAAACTGGGTTTCAAAAAAATCTTTTCACATTAAGCACATCATTAAAATAACATAGAGTGGTCCAGGGAAGCATTTAGACTCAACCTCCTGTACTTTGCTGGATATGGGGCTTCATTAAAACTATTGACAGAGAGGCAGTTTGTTTTCAGTTTATCCTTTCTGTTTCCCAAAAGCAAAAATAATTTGCACTTTAGAATCTTTCAGCTGATGTTTGTATGGTACTTAATGGAAATATAAGCGCTGCAAGTTGAGGTAGGTGAATATTCTGTATGGTAGAAAGGAAATTCATTAATACAGGTTTGGACTGGTCAAACAGTATGGGAAAATGAGCATGAAATTTTCCCCAAAGTAAAACCACTTTGTCTGCGTTTGGCTTATAAGTTATCTCTGTGCTTTGCCTTTTTTTTTTTTAGTATTTTATTTTTGTTAAACGGAAAGAAAGAAAAAAAATAGTTAAATGACCTGAAAACAAAACTTTTGTTTCAGGCAGAACAGAACATTGTGCTGGAGCCCAGCTGGTTTTGTCTGGGTGGTTTTCTTTGTTTCCTTCTCTTTGCTTTTTGGGTTTTGTTTTGCCCAGCCCTTCATCCCAGGCTGCTGTGAAGTGGGTGCGCAGCATTGTCCCCGCGGTACCTCTCAGGAAGCAGATGCCAAGATGAAATGAGTGGCCAAAATCTCTCCTTGAGTTGGTACCAGGGCCAGGAATAGAATTAGGGTCAGCGATTATCGGTCGCCTGCCTAATCTCTAGCACACACACCCTGCTGCTCCATTGTAACCCACTGCTCTGCGCTGGGGTGCCAGGAGGGTGGAAGCAAATGGAAGAGAAACCGGGCAGTTGGGTACTGTCTGAGCAGATACTAAGAAAAATCACAGGGCACTTGACCTACCCTACAGGGAATTTTGTTGTTAAAATGGCAGCAGAG